GTGATCCCGATTTGGCTAGATAGGTTTTCCAGCCCCGTTCCGACCCGGTCCAAGGCGAAACAACGTTGAACCCAACATCCGCCACCAAGACCTCTTCCAACCTCAGGAAAACGTCACCAAAGTGAACCTCAAGGTCGACAACCCCCGATACGACGATCGCACCACCCGAGGCATTGAACAGATTGGCCGTTCGGTCGTACTTCTTGACAACACGAAATCCTGAGAGATGTTTGTCAGAAACAATGTGGCAGGTGGCTCCACTATCAACTAGCCACAGGTCCCCAGGAGTAGTCTCGAGGGCCTTGCAGACATGAGCTACGTCGCCGTACTTCAACATACGGGATCCTAAGGAGCCCATAGACTCAGAACCTCGACTCTCAGACCCAGGCGACCCTTCGGGTCCTGAACCCGGCTTCGGAACTACAAGGGCGGACAACTCAGGCTTCTCAGGCTGTCTCAGAACACGGCGTTCCGAAGAAGAGGGCTCCGAAGAACCACGCCCAGGACAGGAAAACCTCATCGCCATCACTGTGGCGCTTCCTCCCGACTCGGCCTCGGACTCCGGCTCTGTCAAGGAGCGTCCCTTTCCAGGCTGTCCCTTCTTCTTCTTCTTCTGCTTCTTGCCTTTGTCCTTTCCTTTGTCGCCCTTTCCTTTGTCGCCCTTGCCCTTCTCGGAACCACGGGGCGTGCCAGATCCCTTGGGAGTCTGGTCGCCTTTGCCTTTCGGCTTTCCTTTGTCTCCTTTCCCTTTGCCCTTCGGAGCACCACCGCGTTCACGTTCTTCCTTTTGGCGCTGCCAACACTTGTCGGCTGTGTGTCCCTTCTTCCCGCAGTAGTCGCAAAGCTTCTCCTGCAAGGCTCGGCCCGAAGACCCAGGGGCCTCACACAGTCGCAGCTGCTCCTCGTAGTAAGTCAGCGTCCTTCGAAGAGCTTCCCAGTTCGAGCTTGACCCGTGCAGTACCACGTACTGACGCACTTCTGCACCCAAGCTCTGTAACAGGACAGAGCAGCGGTCAGCCTCAGACAGCAGAAGCTCCGGAAAGTTGCTCAGCTTCGCCTCGGACTTCGAAAACGAATCCTCAAGATGTCGAATCAAGTCGGTGGGCCTCTTCAAATGCCCAACGTGCTGGTACAACTTCAAAGCCTGTTCTCTCACGAAGACAGCTTCCATCCGCGACACGATGGAGTACTGAGAGGTAATCGTCCTAATCACCTCGTAGCCGCAGGCGCTCTGCCCCTGCCTCTTCGAGCAGGACCTCAAGAGCTCGCTTCCCCGCTCCCACTTGGCGAGGGACTGCGTCAAGTAGTAGAACAGCTTGGAGCTACGCGCGGCAGTCTCGGGATTCAAGTCAGCTTGCACAATCTCCTTCTTCACAGGGATACAAAGCTGCAGTTCCCGAACAAACGCTTCTTCCTGCAGGGCAAGCCAGGAACTCAGCGTCTCCATAAAGGAGTGCCAAGTCTCTACCTCCTTCATGCGCCCTTGCCCCATGCCTTGATGGTCTATCACCGGAAGGTTCGGCAGATACTTCTCTGCACGGCCTCCAGCACCAGAGTACCCAGAGGGAGACGGAACTGCCGGAGCTGCCGAACTAGCGGCAGAACTGCTCGCGGGAGCAGTGCTCGGCTGGAAGGGGTCCCGAGTCCTCGAGAACTTTCTCTTCCGCTTTGTTCCTTCTCTCTTCCTCCAGATCCATTCTCCGGAGCATCGTCGCAACGAGCTGCTGGTTCATTGCCATCATCTCTCGCTGCTGACGAAGCAATTCCATCATGAATCCAGGCATCTGCTCAGGCGTAAAACCTGCAGAACCAGAGCTGCCACTAGGAGCAGCAGCCTTCGGACTCTGAACAGGTGGAGCCGACGCCTTAGGACTTTGCACAGGAGGCACAGTAGCACCAGTCGGCGAACCCGCCGCTGGTTCTGAAGGCTGTGCTTGCGTAGGAGCAGGAGCCGGACCTTGGACAGGAGCAAACGGATTCGCTCCCTGCTGAGCAGCCGCTTCAGGCGCTGCCGCAGCTGGTCCTGGACCAAAAAGCTCGAACTCCTCTTCTGCAGTGGTCTCCGGCACAGGAACGTCTGCCATGGCTTTACTAGGAACGCACTCAGCGCTCCGCTACCATGTGAAAAACGCAGAGCAAGTCTCTTTTCACTCCACGCTTGAGCCAAACACCGAAGTGTTCAGCAAGGTCTCTTGCGGAGTCTCGCGCAGCAAATTCCGTCTCAACTTTGCTAAACAAAGGAGGAATGACATGCAACTGTCCTAACACTTCTCAGGACTTCTGTACTCACTCAAACAGCAGTGCACAGCCACTCTGTCCCTTGGCCTGTTCCTACCGGCACGAGCGAAGCGAGGGTCGGCGGAAAACAGCAACAGTGCAGTCAGAGCAACACGCACTTCTTCAAGGATGCCCAAAAGCATCTCTAGTGCTGTAAACGCTCATCATGGTCTTCAACGCAACTGCAAACATGCCAAAACATGTGTTAGCCATGCAAATGCCTGTTCAAGCTTCCAAAACAAAACAGTTCAAGGCAAAAAAGATGAAACCCTTTCTCATGCGCAAAACAAGCAGTCGGTACTCAAGGGCACCAAAAAAAAAGGAGCAAACTTTTCACAGACCGAGCCTCAAGGGAACCGCGATCAACTTCCAGCGTTTGGTGTTACTGTGTTCCACAGGACGCAGGCACGTGCTGAGCTCATCAGTCACGAAAAGAACAGGCAGCTATGTTCCGGTGCTAGCACGCAGCCGATGGTGCACATGGGGTGTGCAATGCAGCTTGCGGCATTGTTAGTTGGGTTGCGCTTCTACTGTGCTGAGCTGGACCTCGACCAAGCTGGTGCAGCTTGTTGTAACATTGGATACTCCATGCACACAGATCCTTCTACCTTTGCTCCGGAGCTTGTTCACAGCCGATCTGAAAGGCCGAACGATCCCTGCTGGATGAGTTTTGAAGTTGCGGTTCCTACATGATTCTCTTGTACAGCTCTTTATTGTTCTTGCTGAGTCGGCAGCTTGCATGTTCCCTGTTGCGAATTGAGCGTCTGCCCTTGCGAGATCCACAATATTGGGAAGCTGGTTCAGTTTTATGAAGCACCCGTCACTGGCACATGCTTTATGGATGCTTCACTGTGTGCTGTGCCATGGCCAGTCTGCCCTGCATGTCTCCTCCGGAGACGTGCCGAGTACAGTGAGCATTTAGGTTCTTGCTGCCCATAGTAGACATTCATGTGTGCCATTGCGCGGCTCAGTCATTGGAAAGCAAGGCACCTGAGCAAGAACGATCCCCCGGTTTCATTCTCTTAACTTGATTCTTCTTGACTGGCTTCTTTACTGTTATTCTTGTGGTGTTTTTGGTCCGCCTTCCTGTTGCGAGAGTCGATCATGGGCCTGTCAGGTTTCTACTCGTTGTCTTGGACTCAAAACGACGGTCCTCTGTTGCTTCAAGCTTGAGGTCGCTGAAAGCGTGTGTTTCTGTTTCACCGCTTGGTGTGTTGTTCGATCAACTGCGGCTGTTGGCATTCGATGGCCTGCATCCAGAAATCTGTATGTTTGCTTTCTGCGAAGTTCATGTTTTATGTCAGTAATGCTGACAACGTCGATCCCATGGGTTGGTCGAAGTTAGTGCGCGACACACCGTAGCTGCAGACGGATGCTCTTAGTTTGAGCTCACTTGACGCTTCCTGGACTGCTTTTAGTTTTTGCAAGGGTGTCTTGATGAAAAACGCTTCAAAGCAGCAAGACCAAAGACAAATCAGAAGGTCCACGTCATTTTGGTCATGCCAATGATGCAACTCCCTGTGAGCTGCAGCTGTGCATGCATTCGAGACGTCTTGGGTTCCAATTTGATGCAACGAAGACTCTCTTTGTGTTGAATTGAAAAAATAGTTCTCGTGATGTTGGCGAATCTTGGCGGGGTTTTTGAAGTTCACGCACCTCCATAGCCACTTCTATGGTAAGACCGATTTGGGCATGCATGATGTGCAAGCAATTGGTGAAGAAAGTTTTCTCAATGTAAAGTATTCACTTTTCGAACTGTTTAATGTCTCGCAAATCCACTCTCCTCCATTTTGCCCTCCGGTCAAAAGTGGTTCTTTCAGTCTCCAATCTTAAGGGTATGTTGATTTCTCCAATCCATTCTCTTCGGGCATGTTTCCCTTCTGCCACCATGTGATAGGTTTTTGCACCATTTGGGCATTCTTTGAAAGGCGTTACGATGAGCCACCGCTTCTCGGTGACATGCACCAGACATGACGCAGTGGTTTCCGCTGCTTTAGGATCTTTAAAGCGGAGCAGGACGTCGGCTTGGAGCGGGAAATTGGTGGGCCCAGAGCAGCGCGAGGCACATGGGGGAGATGGGCTGGGCAAAAAACAGGCAAGAGCAGGCAGGACAGGAACAAATGGTAAAACAATCGTCACGTTGCCAACAGTATGGTAACATGCGATAATGGCAATCATGAGTCATGGTGCTTGTTGTGATTATGGCAATTATGGCAATATTGGCAGTTGGTAGTAATGGTGGTAATGGTGACAGCTACAAGAAGGCTGTGAACGGCATTTATGGTAATGATGGTAACACGGGCAACAACTGTATCATGATAACAATGGAAGCAAAGGTTAAAGGTTACAGGATCCAACGGTAATCGTGATAATGATGGTACCACTGGTGTACATGGGGTCGGTCCCGGTTCGGCCTAGATTTTCCTGCCTTGTTGTTCGGTCGTGTTTCCAGCAGCTGTCAGCTGAAACCCGGTGTGCGTTCTGTGTTGGTGGAAAATATTTTGGATGCCACGCTGACCCGAACAAGAGCCAGTTGCAAACTGAGCCGTGTTTGTTCAGGCGTTTGTCCAACGTTGTGTTCCTGCATGCTGTTCAAAATTGAGCATGAGTTTGTCTGTGTGGCAGAGTTGCTTTCAGCATGAAAATAACATAGCTGTGACAATACAATTGTAGCACATGCAGGGGAGACACAAAGTTCTGTCGGGATGTGCAATCCGTGAGCCATGGCGCAAACGACAGGCCGTTCTGTCTTGCTGCAAACGTGCTTCAATGCGGGCTGTTTGCATGCCTGTGCGAGGATGGGAGCAATGTTTACATTCACTGCAGCACTGGCGGCGAGAGTTATCGGCACGTTTAGAGGTGCGCCTAGCTTAACAGGTTTTGTATTGGCCCAGTTGACGCTGCTTTGCATAGTTCTTGGCAGGCTGTGGATGAAGCTTATGGAGAAATGGCAGCGGCCATCGATGCAGTGCCAAATTGTGTTTGGGCTGATGCTCCCACAAAGCATGCTTCTGGCAAGACCGTCAACGGCCAGCAAGAGGCAACATCCCTGCACATAGCACTTATGGAGACACGTGTTGTGACTCTGCTGTGGCTACGCATATGCAATTGTATCAGCCTGTCTAGCGTCTACCTTGCATTGGATCACCCCGCGCCCTGAGCCCCCGAATTTTGGCATTTGCAGTCCTTGAACCGTGAGCCTGCTGTGGAGGAGAAGTTCGAACTGACGCACGATTGTGTGCCACAGCTGGTCACTGCAACTCCCAAGAGCCGTCAGACGGAGTATTCCCTGTCAAGAGTGAGCACTGGCGGCCAGACGGCAGGAGGCCCACTGGAACGCATTGGTACTATGGTGATAGTGTTCATGGTGATGACCGCTGTGTTTAATTTAGTACTTTCGATTTTTCCTACTGCTGCAACTGCTACTCCTGCTACTACTGCTGCTACGCGTAAACATGCCTAAGGAACCCTAAACCCTAAACCCCCAACTTACCAACTTGATATCTCATCTCCTGACACTTGAAGGGATGTAACTCTGCAACGGCGTTTTTGGAGTGCAGCTCTAGAATCCCCGGTTCCAACCAAGTAGGGTCTGTTGAGGGAGCGTGACACTCACATTGACTGCCCAGGATTTCAGCACATTTTGCGTGTGGAGCTTCGCTATCCGTACCAATTCCTCATTTGCCATCTCTCGTTCATAGGTCGAGCGAAGGCAAGTTCGCATTTGTCATCATACTACTGCTACTGTTGCCACTGCTGCCACTGCTGCTACCGCTGCTACTGCTGCTGGTGCTGCTGCTGCTCGTAGTGCTGCTGCTACTGCTGCTATTGCTTCCACTGCTACGGCTGCTACGACTGCTACGACTGCTACTACTGCAACTTCTGCTACTGCAACTGCTACACACCCGCTCCTCCCATCCTCGCGAGTGGGATAGCGATTGATAAGGGCTCGACGACGTGAGCATTTTGCCTGATTATAAGGCTGTCCACTGTCCCAGAGGTTTCAGGATTCTCGAAGACTGGCGCGAGGGCTTCGTGGTGAACGAAGCAGAAGCCACCATGATGTACAATTATTTGTACAGCGACTCGCTTGCAGGGACAGGGTGGAAGTCAGATGCAGTCTGTCGTTCACAGCTGACATCAATTTGCAGACGACACCAACATTCAGAGCCAGCTACCTTCGTATCTGATGTAAGTTGCCGAGACTCTGCTAGCTTTCTCTTGACCATTCTACCTCGCTGCACTCCTGCTGCTTCCAAGATCCTTGTTGCGTTTTTTTCTTTACACGTTGATGCCTTCCGTGATTGGTTGCTCTGTCGTGGCAGGCCTCATATCTCAGAACTTGTTGATGCTTCTACCTCTTCCACTTCCAGATTCCTTTCTTTTTGTTTGGTGTTTGTGCACCGCTGGTTCTTGTAACGTCTTTTTGCTACAGTTTGTGCTTGCTGATTTTGTCTGCTACTTCGTTTCTTCGGATTTCTGTAAAGTCCTTGTGGCATGGCCCACCTGTTTGTGCCTTCGAAGCTCTGACTAACACTAGCTTGAAGGTTCAAAGTCTTGTAGCACGTGCTAAAACTAGGGCGAACAGCAAGTCTTCAAGATCCGAGTGCGACTGAACTCCTTTGAAACCTACGCCTTAAACCGACGAGCGTGCGATAGAAATGCCAGACGGAAAATGGAAGCAGTACCCGCAATCCTCTGAACCTAGATCGCAAGAGCCTGCGCCCGACATGGCCAAAGCCTGCGGCAAGATTGCACAACTCTGAGCCCGAGTGCTCGCGTAGGGATACCGACTCTGTAGTTCCAAGAACAGCAAGTGAGTTCAGTTGTAGGTCCTACGCCGTCACAGCCCTGGGTAAAGCTAATACGTTCCACATGGAATCCGAGAGCAGTCTGTGCTCGATATCCTTCGGATAGGTGCCGGAGCCGATGGCTCATTCTCCATATCCACGTCAGGCAGTGCAAATTCAAATCAAGCAGTCCTTGTTCACAAACTTTGACTCTTAAGTCTTAAGACCTACACCGTCAATATCCATCAATCAGCATTGCTTTGGAGGAAGGGTTCGCTGGCTGTTTTCACCCGAAACAACAAACCGTAGCTTTTTTGGTCGCAGCCCTTACACTTATTCCGAAACCCTAAACTGAACCTGAAGCTCTAAATCTCAATTAGCATGGCTTTCATCGCATGCAGAAGTTAATGCTTCTTTAGAAATCCGAATCGACTACGCACGCTGCTTGTCAAGACTCAAGCCCAAGACTGCTCTTCTTCGGACACAAAACCAGGCCAGCGCAAGAAGCGGGTCGCTGTGTACCACGGGAGACCGCAGGAAGCCAGAAGATGCACCTTGGCTGCTTCTTGTAGAACCCTATTAGACAGCGGAACCGACATAAGGAAAGTGACAGAAAGATGATAGGAGCTGCGAAAAGCAGCCTTGAAGCCTTACAAGTCCCAGAGGCCCCAAAGAGCTGAAGCGCTGCAAGTCTCCTATGCCCGGCTCCAGGTGCAGATTCATCGCTGTGGGTTTCTTGGGCGGACTTCACATGGGGGATTATGACACTCGTGTTGGTCGCCGTCGATGCCGTGTTCCTTCCGCTCTCGCTCTCATGGCCCAGCCTCATCCAAAGTGGCACTACCTTGGACCTCTACTATCAGGCCTGGCTAAGTTATGCACATTAATATATATATATATATATACACACATACATATATATATACATATATATATATATACACAAATATATACATACATACATATTTATATATATATGTATACACCAAAAAATCTATAATAATAAAATATAATAAAATATAATATAATATAATATAATATAATACAATATAATATATAATAATATATAATAATATATAATAATATATAATAATATATAATAATATATAATAATATATAATAATATATAATAATATATAATAATATATAATAATATATAATAATATATAATAATATATAATATATCATAATATATATATATATATATATATATATATTATATATTATATATTATATATATATATATATATTATTAATATTATTAGATATTAATATATATTAACATATATTCATATATACTAATATTAATATTAATATACATATCTATATATATCTATATATATACATATATGAACATATTAATATATATTAGTGTACATATATATACATATCTCGCATTTTCTCGCATTTGGGGCACAGGCTCCTGTTAGGCTGCAGCCCTTTGGCTTGCATTAATTAAAATAGACCGGTGCGGATCCCCAGTTTGCGCTCGCAGACTACTCAGCAGTGCGCGGTGCAGTAATCTGGGCGGTCGCACAGTGAGGTGTACAAGATGCTGTGCATGAAACCGGTAGCACAGAGCTCAAAAACCGTAGCACTAGCAACACTACACACCCAAAATCAAAAGGATGCCGCACCATAACGTGCGCATGAGCTGCACAAGAAGTCGAAATGAAGCTTCAACGTGCAATGCGAAGCAGGCCAACAACTGCGCAGGATATTCCTCATGGGTATCAATGAGGCAATCCCTGCACAACACAACTATGTAACGACATACCCGAGATGCCGGAACACCTTCTTTGGAGGTGATATATTGACATCATAACAGAAACGCTGAAAGCTTGAGCCTTGTTCCCCATGGGGCAGAGAGGCAAACTGCAAGCTTCAGGCCCCGCATGGCGTATTCAAACGGCCATGCCCGCATGTTCATAGAAGTGCCTTCACACTCGATATGAAGTGCACTGACTGTGAGCCGTACTCAAGAAAAGCATAGTGGCAATGTACGCGACTTCCGCTATGCAAAACACTGTCTGGCTCCTGCTCGAAGGCTGAGTTTCACAAACTTTCTCCCAACAGATGCCAACCAGCATGCAGAAGCCGGCAATGGTTGTCCCCAGGCCAGCTCCCACATTGACTAAATCAGCATCCGCAGCGACCACGCTCAGAGAACATGCTACATCCTCGCCGTTGTGGCCGATGCCAGCACAGCCCTCACAAGTTCCGCCCCTCTTCTGGACGGAGTCTGCCTGCTTGACGAACCCGTTGACGCAAAACACGTCTAAGACGCACAGAACAGAAGCATTGAAGATGAGACTTCTGCTGAAAGCAATCTCAGGGGTAGTATGTTTGATGAAGAGTCCATGTAAGTAGACATCACCAGCTTGTAAGCACCAGCAAGCCGTCACAGCGCCGAGCGCCCCAAAGTACTCGTTGAGGAAGCTGCCACCGCAAGGCTTCTCATTCCCAGTAGGCCCTGCCTTATCTTGGGACTGCGCCTTGACATTGTCGAACGTACCACTGGCCTCAACGTCCAAGGTGGGCGTCAGGATCTTGACAAAGATCTGCATGCCGCCTCGCATGTGCGGCGCCAAGTGAAGGGTCGATTCCTTCTGCAGGTTGTAATCCGAAAGAGTACGGCCGCACTCAAACTGCCTGCCAGCAAAGATCAGGTGCTGCTGGTCGGGCGGGATGCCTGCCTTAATTTGGGACTTCGCATTGACTTTGTCGAACGTGCCACTGGCCTGAACGTCCAACGTAATCGTCTTGCCTGTCAGGGTCTTGTCAAAGATCTGCATGCCGCCTCGCAAGCGCGGCACCAGGCGAAGGCGTGCCTTTCATGGCACTGGGGCTACCGATAGTTCCGCGCTGCTGCGGCCATTCGAGCCCTATATATACATATACTTATATATGTAAATAAATACAAGATAAATAACTATGACAATATATATATATATACATACATACATACATATATATATATATGTATGTACACACGTTTACTTATACATATATATATATATATGTATATGTATATGTATATACACATACATACATATCACCATTATTGAACTAGGCCCCACAAGACCATCCTTCTCATGGTTCTGGTGAGCCCGGACGTAGTTATGCTCTTGAGGTGACTCCTGGACTCTGGATCTCCGACATCGTCGTCGCTTTCCTCATCGCGCTGCATCCTACGGCCCAGACCGTTCGCTGGCAGCGACTCCGGTCCTATCTATGCAGCGTTCCCAGCAAACTTCCCTTTCTTGCACTGATGGGGGGGTGTGCCCAATCCGAATGGCCCCGAGGTCGGCGCTTTCCTTTCGACGTCACGTTGGCCCGAGCCTGAGAGCTTTCCGGCGGTCGCAGCGCCGGAATGTCGGGATGGCAAGGTTCTGGTGGACCTCACGCTGCTGGCGCAGCTGATCCCAGAGGACTTCAAGGTGGGGTCCCCGTCCCCCCAAAAGGATCAGGAAGGCTTGTCCATTCCCTCAACAGGAGGATGCAGCATGCCGCGTGCACATCAGGTCCTCACACTGCTGCGCCTGCTCCGGGCTGCGAAGTTCAAGGCTGTGCGGGTCCTGGAGCCCGGCCGCTCTCGTTCTGAAGGTCATCGGATCCCCGAACACGACAGAACCAGTACCGGAAGCACTCAAAAGTAGTGCTATTTTGTAAGGTCCTGGGGTCGTTCGAGAACCGCCTGGCGAAACGGGGCAACATCACCTTCGTGTACTGGTCCACCATCATCCAGTCCATTGCATCCGTGCTGGTCGTCAACCATACGCTGGCCTGTGCGATCTTTTACATAGGCGCGGCGACCCCAAACTACAAATCCGAAGCCTACACCTGCAGGGTCATGTTCTTCTCTCGGTTCAGTGATTTTGAACTCAGGCAGACTGGGTCAGCAGTCGGAGATGCCGAACTGGCTGGACACCTATGGCATCCTGGACTACTCCGATCCTTTTCAGTACATGCCCCTGGGCAGCAGCGTCAGTTTCAGACTGGGGTATCGTTTGACGGTTGTCACCTCCAAGCCCATGCCATCGATTGGCACATACATCCCGAGTCGGGCAGCGCTTTTCTACCTTGCTGGCTTGTCCGATTTCTCTTCGTTTCTGAGCTCCTCCTACCAGGATGTCCTTCAACTGGGTAATTGCGCAGTACACCCCTGCGCCGTTCCCCTATCGGGCCCAGACCGAGATTGAGGAAGTCTTGATACTGGAGCCTGATCTGAAAGCTAGACGGCCGACACACCTCCATCCGCTTGCAACTTTCTTGACCCTTGCCCAGGGAATGATTCTTATTTGCCTCCCTTTGCTGGGAGCCCAGATCGGAAAAATCACGGGCCGCTCGGCAGCAGCGAACTCGAGAAGCTTGCGGGAAGCTTGGGCCCCGGCCCTGACCGAGGCACCTTGAACTTGATGAATGAGAAAGCCAAGGCCAGGTTTTTTTCAGGCTGTTTTCGAATCGGAGAGGAGCGGTGTGGCCCATGCCTCTTGAAGCAAGGAGCGCGACCACGTGAAGCGTGACCTGCAGCGTTGGCTGCACAAGACTAAAGTGCCTGGGCTGGAAGCAGGGAGCCACTGAGCCACCCATGTCCTTTCCCTTTCCCTGTGAGGTGCCTGAAGAACTCAAGGAGCCACCCGGCCGCACTCTCCTCGCATCTCCTCGCGCTGCCATGATCACTTCGGCATGTAGTGCCGAAGAGCCGAGGCGGATGTCCAGCTCCCTGGACGATGTGCTGAACTCCGCCCAGTCTCCGCTGGAGGTGAAGGATCCGATGGCTCTGAAGTTCCTTCCGAGCACTTTGCTGGAAGAGCTGCGGGTCGTGAAGACCGGTGAGACGCTTTCGCTTCACCCTCTCTTTCAAATGATCATGGATGCCGCTTCGGCATGTAATACGTTTCCTCCAGAATTGCACCGTTTGCAACTCAAGGTAAAGGTCATTCCTTGAGATTGACACCGGATCATCACATGTTTGCCGTGCCATTCTTCAGGACCGGCTACAGCTTGCGGGGTCCCTGGTCTCGGCATTTAGAGTTCTGGCTACTGTGGCTGGCGAGCGGGTCTTCACCGTCGGCAGCCGGGCAGAAGGCCTGGAACTTTCCCACAACATCATTGTCTGTCTCTCCTCGCGAACACGGAGCTTCGATTAATCGCTCCAAGAAGTGCAGGCAAGAGAGGTAGTAGGTGCCATTGCCGTGCTGATCTTCGCTCTGCTCTCACCGCAGGCCTCCATGTGACCATCTCGGGAAGGTTCTCGGTGTTGTGTCAGGAGGCGCGAGTGGCGGGATCTGCGAAGGAAGTTTTCTAGTTGCGAGCGTCCGAAAAGAGTTCACTTGCATCGTAGCTTCAGAGTGCCGACTTCAGACGCTGACGGCTCCTAGCTCCTGCCCTCCGGGGCATTCAGAAGGCGGCAAGGTGCTTAAACGCTGATGAATCCTGCAGGAGGCGTGCATTGTGGAGGCCGAAAGGGGTGTTCCATCCAAGTCTCTCTCTCCGGAGTCTCACAGTCTCGATCTGGCACCTGACACCTGGGTGGGAGAGCTTTGGCACCTGATAACGGGTTTCCGTCTGCTTCTGTGCCTTCTTGCTCCAAGCCTGCATCGCCCCAGAAGAAGCAAAGCCGCTATCTCAGGAACTTTGCCTCTACACGGAGATGTCGCTTGCCTACAGTGCAGCTGACCTTCTGCTGTTGGGTGCGGGATCCTAGTCCGAATGACCCTTTGAAACTAAGAAACCACTCGGCCACCTTGACGTCACTGGCCTACGCCAAGTGCCTTCGAGTGTCTCCCATGGACTTCCTCAAGGTGGGCGTCGGGCATCGGACTGTCCCGTGCTTTGAAGAGCCCATTTGTGCCTCGCCGGTAGGCTGTGAGGGAATCGCCTGCGGCAATCGTCGCCATCCACGAGCCCCGTGGCAAAGCGGGAGGTGCAGCATTCGGGACGCTCACCCCGTTGAGCTTTTCATTCTCTGAGGTATGCTGTGGAGTTGCTTAAACTGCGGCTTTGGCAGCAGTGCCCAAAGCATTCGGTTGTTGGAGTCAAACTGAAGCTCCAAGGGCAGGGAAGCCGTGGGAACTGCTGCCACACTCTCAAGTGGACGACTGTGTCAGCCACACACAGCTCGGCGCCTCTTGGCCAACAAACAACGGACCGTGTAAATGCAAGGATTCTCACAGTGTGATGCGATACGACAGTGCCCAGGAGTTGCTGAACCCTGGAACTGGCCGCATCCACAACCTGAAGAACAGCGAGGCCGATATTGAGAGATGTGAGAGGCTGGCCGAAGGGCGAGAGAGAGAGGAAGAGACCAGCAAAAGCCAGACTGCGACCCTCCTCAGCTCGTTCCACACGACTTCAAGGGGGGAGGGCGACCTTTGACAACGGGGGATTCTTCCTTGGAAGCCTGCTTACAGAAAGAAAGGGAGAAAGGAGGAGCTTGCCTGCTGCACTCCCTACGTCTTGGAGGGGGGAATGGACGAACGAGGATGGTGCAGGCGCCCTGGCAGGGGGGAAGGGTCATGCACTCAAGAAAGACAGAAGGATACTTAGAGAGACGAGAAGGTTGCAGGCTTTGCAACATGCAGCGGATCCGTGTTCGGTCTTCTCCTGTGTAAGAGAACGGAGACGGATACCAAGACTTCGCATGATGCTTTTATTTCTGTGAGGCTGTCGACCTCACGGACCTTGCATCCCGTCTCCTCTCGCGGCCATGGGCACCCGAGGCCGAAACCCAGATGTGCCATGGTGTACATATATACATATATACATATATACGTATAAACTCACATAGACATACAGACATATAGGCATATAGGTATATATATATATATAGAAATAATTACATATATATATATATATATATTTATATTTATGTTAGGGGTGGAATGTTGTTGTCCCTGGCGCCTCCCTGCTCGGAAGGACCTCTGCGAGGAGATCAAGGACAAGGCTCTCATCTCAGCTTCGCGCTTCCTTCGACGATAACATGTCTTCTCTTGTACCGCGCCCTACCGTGTTAAAACCCTACGTAATCCTACAAGGCTCTTAGCCCCCAACCCTCAATGCTTAACGTGAACAGGTCAAAGGCAAGCTGGCTGAGAGTCGTGTCTGTTCGCTTCGGCTTGGTGAGCAATACCAAAGTTGACTCTGTTTGCTGTACGGGGAGCTGGCTATATCTACATTCCTATTCTCCATTTGAAGTCCCTGCAGCAACAGCGGCTGACAGTCAGGAGCAACGCACTACCCTGAACCCTGAACCCCAAACCTTATAAACCCCAAAACCCTGAACCCCAAAGCCTCACTGTGCCAAGCAGGTCGTGGAGCTCAGGGACAACGGTCTCTATGCACATCTCCACCACCACGTGCCTGGGATTCATGGTTTCAGGGTTTAGGGTTTGGGATTCCTTCGTGAGGTGCGAGCTGTCCGATTCTCTCAGAACCACGCAGATTATATACATACATGCCATGAAGACCCACAGGCCACCCTGAGCGTCAGTAGACGGCTCAGACATAAATGATGCCCACGCGGCTTTCAGGCCGACCCCCACCACAATGACCAGAGCTTGAGCTTGGCCAAAAGCTGTCTGTGGAGTAGCAGCTGTTGGACCACTGTTGGCGACAAAACCATCGGCAGCGATCAAAAATCATGAGCTTCACAAAGTATTACATGAGGAATCCGCATCAAGGCTCAAACCACCCATCCTGAGGGGTTCGTGATGCAGAACCTTTGTGGGTGCGAGACAGCGCGTGTAGATCTTTAAGGGTGGAAATGCATAAGCATACAGAAAGACGGCAATAGTGGTAAAAATGCAAATATGTATGTATACATATATATATATACATTTAAAGACATATGTGCAGGTCTGCACCACGAGATAAACAACTACATGCATGAGCCGACGGTTCGACAACACAGAGGTCCAGAGATAAACGCAAGCATCCGCACTTCTACTTTAACCTTCACAAGGGCAGAGTAGGTCGACACCCACACAGCCGATGCATGCACATAAGAATCCAGCATAATGTGTGTATATATACATATATCCATGTACGCATATAAGTGTATATGCGTATATGTGTGTACATATATGTATACCGCGTAACCGCATATGTGTTTTTCTATATATACATATCTGTATTTGCGTATGTATGATGCATGTATGCGTGTATGTGTATATTTCTATATATATATATGTATATCTTTCTACTAGTGTATACATATCTACATATACATATATATATATATATAGATATTTGTGCATACTGTAGACATACTTACATACATGCATACATACATGTATGTATATATATATATATATATATCTTGCAAACATGGAAATATGCAGATCTTGCATGTGTATGTACAGGTATATACACACCTTTGTATATAAATGTGTGAATGTATTCACGTATCTGTATATGTATATATGTATATCTGTTTACCAAATACATATACACATATATAGATGTATTTATGTAGTGAGTATGTATGTATGTATGTATGTATGCAAGTATGGAATGCAGACCTGGTGTGTACGTATGTATGTGTGACTGTATGTAGGAAATCGAAATACTTGATTTTACACACTCTGTGTGCATAGGTACATACATGCATACCTATGTATGTATGTAGGTAGGCAGGTAGGTATGTATGTATGTTTGCATGTATGTGCTTCTGTGCAGTCATGCATGCATGTATGCATGCATGCATGCATGGATGCATAACAACATGCTTACAAGGCTTACACACCTTTGTCACGCACACACAGTATTACGCACCTGCATACCTGCTTACGCAGGTGCATACGTACATATGTGCATACACATGCAGACGCACTCGTATAAGTCTGCTTGTCTTAGTGCGTACATTCGGTTTGGTATTAGTCATACCCAAGTAACATTGATGAAATCCCATTGTTTCGGTTCGTCATTCGCCCAGGACGAGGCGAAGCGCGCGGTCCTCTCCGTGCTCAGCATGCTTTGGTTGCTGAAGGCTTTCTGCGTGTGTATTTACTATACTATAAAATACTATGCTATATTAGACTATAGTTTTCTTTACCATATAAGACGATAACACAAAAAATAAGTAGCCAAGCGGGACATGAGCTTCGCATCAGTGTTCTGGCATTGCTCCAGGGGGACTACGAGCAGATGGTCTCTTGCCAGAAGCTGCCCACGCGCCTGAGCAGAAGCACGTGGACGGCGATTCAGGACAGGCGCTGAGAAGAGCGGATGCACGATCAGTGTGACGGTTTTTTTGGCAGACGCCCCGCCCGCACGCAGGAGCTCCTGTGCTGGGAGATGACACCCTCACAGCTTACGGCCCTTTTGGTCCTCTTGGCTATTCGTGGATTGAGCAAAAGCGCTGACTTCACAAAGCTTTGCCCGCCCAGCGAGCGCCGTAGCCCCGAGTCCGTCGTCGGCTTAGCTTTCGCACGTTCACTGCTTTGATCCCCATCAAACTGAAGTGATGGAATCGCCTCCTCGGAGTTTGTTGGCTTATTTTGGCAGCGTATGGCCATGCCTCGCTTGTCGCATCTGAGGTGTTAGATTATGCTGTTCGCGGCTTAGAAGGGCTGGCCAGGTATGGGCAGGGGATCGTTGCTGGCTTGCGTAAGGTCAGCAACTTGAAGTCCTACATCCCCTCGCTTGCGGGGCTGCCTGCGGACAGTGCTGACTACGTAGTCTCGACAGCCCCTTGCCTACAGCTTGCTTGTCCCATCGATGATCGGTTGGCAGCGACGAAAGCTTTTTCGCCCAGGTCCGAATGTTGGGGCAATTCAGCTTTCCACAGTTCCTGCAGGGCGAGAACAACCCTCATTCTGTTTGGATGCTCCAGTCCTGCTTGAAACAGGAGGAAGAGGTTGTCTTCAAGAGCTTTGTCGCAAATGAAGCACAAGCAATGCGAGAATGTCTTCGTGCCACGGGGCATGGGGGCAGTGTGAAGAATAACAGTTCATTGGGCGTCGCTCCACCAAGGATGTTTTTGCTCGCGCAGGTGTGTGTGCTCTGTGGAGCCACTAGGCCGCCCGTGTTTGGGATTTGTGGTCTTTGGGGCCTTTTGAGGCCCCCGGCCCCACAAGGATCAAGGGACTTATGCGATCTTGCAGCCACCTGAGGTGACCGGGGCGAAATCCATCCAGGGCTCCCATTTCCTCAATGAGTTGAACGGGCGGTCCGTGCTTAAGGCCCTCAGCTGTTTGCAAAACATTGCAGAGCCTGCGGCAGCACGAGCAGTTCCTTTACAACTCTTCTGTGAGCCAGTAACAGTATGTGAAACGACGCAGAAACCACAAGAGGGACAGCTATTGCAGTGCTGCTTGCCTTCTTTCTGATTCTACCCTTCCTAGTTGTCCCCGTACTATTCTGCTAAAACAGAAGCGGTGACACTGACGATGGCGACTGCCGCTGCCGCGACTTGCACGCTGAAGCTACGAGCTTCTGCGCTGCCTCTGCCACTGTCGCTGCCCCTTACTGCCGGGGCTGCTGCTGTTGCTCCTCCTCCTCCTCCTCCTCATCTTCCGTCTCCTCCTCCTCCTCCTCCTCCTCTTGCTTTTACTACTACTGCTACTGCTACTGCTACTGCTACTACTACTACTACTACTACTGCTGCCAGCACCTCTAACGAGACCCTTAACTGTGCACCCTGCACCCACAGCCTGTGCCCTAAGCCCTATCTGCATATTTGCGATGCCAAGGATGCTCGACCACAGGCTGTTTACTGGAGATACATCGCTGCTCGGGCGTGGTCCTTGCAGTTGGAAGTGCCCCGCCTGGTTCAGTTTTCAGATGCAGGGTATAGTTTGCGATTGAAGGTTGAGGGTTTAAAATTAGGAGTTCCGGCCACGCTGAGGAGAGTCTGGCGAGAGCGCAAGCGAAGACACGGGAGACTGTCTGTTCTTCATTGGGGTTGCGCCACTTAAGCTGATTTCTGTGAGGAGTTCAGTTGTTGTGGATGCACCCGGCTAAAATTTGCAAGACTGAAACGCGATAAGATAGCACGGGTCGTGGAAAAGAACAGGAGCACTTTGTTTTTGCCCACTCTGCTACTGAATTCCTGTACAGGCGCAAAAAGCATTTTGTTAGAACGACATTCCTGTCAGAACGACAGTCCTGATTGTTTTTGTTCTTATTCGTTTGTTTTTCCGAGTAGCCGACACGCTATACCAAACCCCCCCAACCCTCCCAATCCCTTTAATTGGTATGTATGTCCAATATGTCTACATGTCTGTGTAGATACGTATATAAATAAATATATATATATATATATATATACATATATATATATATACACACACACCATAGAAAATGCTGTACATGCTGTCGATGTACAGACCACCATGGAACCGAATTAAAGAAGGTCCAGCAGGCCGGCGACCTTGTTCTGGCGAGATTGGCCTGCCTCACACGCCAGCGCCTCAGAGGGTCTTTGGGGGCTTTAAGGGGGTTTAGGGTTTAGGGGGTTACATGGGGGAGGGGGGTGGGTTTAGGATTTTCTTTCGTTTTGGTCGAGGTTTGTACCGGGGGTTCATAGCGGTTTCATGCGGTTTTGCGTTTTCTCCCTGTAGGCGGAAGAAAGAAGGCGAACTTTGATGAAACAAGTATGCAGCAGCAGTATGAGAATGATTCCACCACAACCCCAATGCGCAAAATTCGCAAGCCTCCGAAACATCGAAAAATCCTATACCCAAAACAACAACCCTAAAACCCCAAAACCCACCTGCAAAACTCCCCAAAATCCCTAAAGCTCCAGGTACGGTGGATCCTCAGCGACTAAGGGAGCTCAAAGAGGAGTGGGCGCAGCTCACGGATTCAGAACGGGCCGCTCCCTCCGATCATTTATTTCGGGTTTTAAGGTTAGGTAGTTTGGATTTAGGAATTAGGATTCAGGGGTTTCAGGGTTCTGTGGTCTCCGGTTTCTGTGCTTTTCCTTTCTTTTTCGGGTTTTAGGGTTGGGGGGTTGGGGTTTAGGGGTTTGGCACTGTTGGATTTAGGTGTTTGGGGGTTCTGGGGTTGGATGCCGAGTTCTTCATCTTGGTGATCTTGTTTTGTGGGTTATTTGCATCAAGGAACCTCGTATTTTGAGATATATCCGGGGATCTTTTTTCTCTGAACTTCCTTTATGATCGCGTTCATGCTTGTTGTCATTGGCAGACTTTTTGGCGTCGTTGTAGTAGCCGCCATAATTGCTCCATCAATGTCACGACCATTGTTTCCAGTTTTTTTGTCCCACTTGTTACTGCATACTCCCAGCCTTCTTCTCCCCAGCAAAGCTGCCACAGTTGCGCTTTTGCTACGACTGTAGACTGCACAGCAGGACACATCTTCAGCTTGCCTCTGTTAGCGCTTCTTCTTCTAAGGACGCGCTTCATGAGATCTTCCTCCTAGACGGTCATTTGCAGAAGGCGCGAGAGTGAGAGGTAGGCGGTGCAGAAAGGACATCTGTGGCTCCTCTCTCTCGAAGACAGGCATAGGGTTCCTTATAGACCCTTTTAAAGGGCTCCCTTTAAACCTGCAGATGTTTACGAAACGCAGGCTTTCATCTTCCAATACCTGCCGCTGTTTCTGACGAATGCGATGGAGAACACGGACTTGGGATTGCGCTGCGGCCTCCAGTTCCTCGTGGAGCTTTATGGCAAGCTCCTGGATCATCGGTGCCTTCGTTCTCCGAGCAGATCTTGTTAAGAGGGGAGCTCCTACGGTTGATGATGTAAATCCTGCATTATCCATAACAAGGAATATACCATTATTCCCATAGTTTAGGGTCCTTAAGGTAATGCAGGATTTATAGCATCAACCGTAGCATCGCCTTTCGCCTCCGAGGTGCCTCAGTCATGCCGGCCCGACGGTGAGGGTCGACATCTACTCCCTTGCGTCGATCGTCGCGGAGGTCGGGCAACGATGCGAAGAGAGGGGAGGGGGAGGGCATCCAAAATCCCCCCAAGATGCATTCGGACCAGCTTCCGCTCTGCGTATCGTATCTCCTCTCCAGGCACAACGAGAACAGGAGATAGCAGTAGTGCCGAGGACGCTTCGCCAGCTTCGTTTTTTTCTCCCAACTCTGAACGACACTGTGGTGGTGTTCAGACAGTCGGGAAGACTGGAGCCCCTTAATCCTAAATCCCAGAACATGCAGCCGAATTGACGCGGTATCGAGGGATGTGCTGAGTAGGGTGGCGAAGAAAATCTTCTTGTGGCCCGGTAGTGCCTGCTTCACTCCCACTCCAGGTGGACAGCCTTCGAACTCTCCGAGCCTTGCCTGCACACGGCACTCGCAAGCTCGCCCAAAAGCGCTTCGCGCTGCGCTGAGGTCGGTGCCTGGAGTTCGTCCGCATTGTGAAGCACGGGAGTGGGGTGACGGCCTTGCTGACCAAGCAGTCCTACCAAGTGCTCTCAGGCTCCCATCACATCTTGTTAAAGCAAACCCCAGAAAGTTGGAACATGGATCTAGGATGAGTAGTGCTGGGATTCCCTTTGCTTTAACACGGAGGGCACGAGGATAATCATGTTCCAACTTTCTGGCTTCCACTGTATCTCCAGAGTGCTTTTCCTTTCCTGACTTTGCTCAAGGCCAGCTGGTGACGTACGATCGCAACGCTGACCTGCTTGAGGTTTTGGCTGCTCAGCAGTGCCTCTGCAAAATTGAAAAGCCTAATCCCAAGCCCCTAACCCCTAAACCCCAAAAACCCCTAAACCCCTAAACCCCAAAAACCCCTAAACCCCTAAACCCCTAAAACCCCTAAACCCCTAAAACCCCTAAAACCCCTAAACCCCAAAACCCCTAAAACCCCCAAAACCCCCCAGACCCAAACCACGCGCGCTGAGAGCCGCCCCAGCTCCAATGAGGCTGCGGCTCGAGAAGGCGATGTCTTGGCCAGGCCTTGACTTATTTAGTAATAGCAACAACAATAACAATAATAATAATAATAATAAATAAAAAATAGTAACAGCTTCAATAATGAGAATAACAAAGATTCACATATAAAACGAATGTTTTTTGAATTATGTTCTATCATACTACAGTATGTTGTATGATTTTACGCCATGCTCTGTTCAGTTCAGTTCTGTTATGTTGTATTGCCCACTAAAACGTTGGAAGCAGCGAATAATGCCGGCGGTGCAGACTTATGGCGGGTAGCATGTCACATCTTCTAGAATTTCGACCGGTCTAACTATCCGCCTGTTTGTTCGTCTCCACTTGTTGACCTATCGACCTATCCATGTATGGATGTCTATCGCACCCGGAGGCGGCGGAGGCGTGGGTGGCAAGAACACCGTGGAGGCTTCGGGTCTCGCAGCTTTGCGTTCTTTCAGACCGTGGTTTTGGGAGAGTTTTGTGTGCTTTCGTGGCTTTTCGCCCGGGGGTTTAGGATCTAGGGTTGCTAGGGTTGCAGGCTTAGGATCTATGGTTGGGGGTTTAGGGTTCAAGGGCCCCGGGGGTTCAGGGGTTTTTTGGGTTCAGGGTCGGTCTCGGGTTCCAGAGCTGAGGAGCCCGTGGAGGCCTGCTCCTTCTGAAGGTCGATGGCTTGCCAAAGGCCGCTTTTAAGGCTCTGCAAGACCCTAAGCCCCAAACCCTAAGCCCTAAACCCTGAGCCCGAAACCCCTAAGCTGAGCGCCCCTAAACCCCTTAACCCCAGAGCCGGAGCCACTTCTGTTGGCTTTTTTGCATTTTCCAGTCGAAGAAGTTAGACGCCCTTGCGAGGCGTAGGCGGCATGCCTGAATTCATTTAGCAAGAGGCGCTCTGCGAGGTTGATCATGAGCATGTGACCTTGCAGCAGAGCCGATCGCAGCAAGTCTTAGTTTAGTTTTTTCGCTTTGCGGTTGAGGGTTGTTGGATTTGGGGGCTCTAGGTTGTCTCGTCAAGGGTCTAGGGTTTAGGATTTTCGGTTTAAACTTACGCCTCCAAGGATTTACGGTCGACGCTAGGCGCTGTAGGCGTTTAGGGCCCGAGGATTTCCCCGAAGGCGCCCCGAAGGGGCCCTCCGAGCGGTTGCGGGCGAAAAGGCCTGGGGCTCCATGGAGGAGAGGATCCCAATGCAGAGCCCCAAATCGTAGGATCTTGAGTGTGCATATTATGCATGCACATATATACAAAAAAATAAAAACATATATATATATATATATATAAAAACATATATATATATATATATATATACACATACATATATATGCTACCCCCCCCCTCAGGTACCCAGGTTTTCGTCTTTGTGCTGATAGCACGAAGGAAGTCGGACAGAAAAGGCTGCAAGTGCACGCGCATGCTCGCGATAAGCCGACATATAGTACTAGTAGTGAGCGAGTGTGACAAATTGCAGGGTATGGCGAAGCAGGCCTACTGAAACCCAGTAAGAGAAAGAGCTTTGCACGGCATAGAGGTGATACTGTAGCATCCCCAAGGCCATGCACGCAGATTTCGGATCAAGGTGGATAGTGGCTATGTTTAATTGGCTGTCGTTATGGTTTTTTACACACGCAACAATGTCATTGCTGTGGTGGGTGTTGCAGTCTCTCACATGAATTGCTGTGTTCATTGGTTCATACAACCATATATGGAATAAGCCGAAAGCAATGTCATATAGTGTCAGTATACTTGTCAAAGCCTTTAGTCTCCAGCACTGTACAATGATTCATGCGTGTCTGTCAAATTAGCAGTCAATAGCGACAAAAGTATGAAATCGTGTTTCACGACGGTGTGTGTAGGCTTCGCAATTGTTACTGCAAGTATAGTCTCCATTGCCTTAGGAATCCGATCTCCGTTTCTTTTCCCAGTCATGAAACTGCTACATGTTCTGTTCTTCTATATCGAGCTCAAAATGTCAACTGTGGTTTTAATATTACCTCTCACAGTGTTGTTATCACATCTTGTAAAATGCCATTATTCCTGTTACAGTGGTTATCATACTTCACCAATACCAGGCCATTTAGGACCATGTACCACCCGGCTTGTTTAATTTCTGCATCGAATGTTACTGTGTCAATTACTGTTCTGATTGTTCATTCAGACTGCTTCGTATATTGTTCGGGAACCTTGCTTAATAGTAGCCAATTATTTTAAAGTCAATGAAGTACCTGCTGAGTCCTGTGTTTTATACATTCTGCTAAGTTGAGTATAAACCTACCACAGAGCACCATGTGAATACGTACACTTGTGCTTCAAAACACTTCTTGGTAGGATGATGGCTAACCAAGTCACACATTGGCTTGCTTTTTACCTGCTGAGAGTGGGTTGTTAGTCTTCCAAATCAAACATGATCCAACACGCCGGGGCTGCGTGTTACACGCTAGGTTGTATGTTGTAGTTAATTAGTTCGACTATAGTCTTTTCACGTCAGGTGACTTCGACATGTTTAATCCGAGTGCAGTTCATCAAAAGTGCGTGCATCATACAGGTAATATCCATTTTATTGGTCGCAGAATCGTTTTCGAAAGTCTGCACCTACCAAATGGTGACAAGTTGACAACGATGTATGTCAGAATTCTGGTGCACATGGTAGTCTTTTGGCTACGGGGCTCTTTGTTTTTTTAAGCACCAGTGCCACACCAAACAAGAATACACAACCACAACGACCAAAGACCCTCATGCAAACACCAAGCAACATAAGTAGATCCTTCTACATTTATCTTAAGAAGTGGGTGATTAAGCCAGCTAAGCTTGGTCGTGCAGCAATAGCTTTCCTATAATAAATTTTTGAATCTTAGACATGGAGTACAGCCTTGTATGTGATAAACAGAAAACCCATGAACTGGTGTTCCCACAGTAGTGTCTTCAAGCGGAGACTATGAATTACCTAGCTTCGTGTTGGACCAACTAGTGAGCTTAATCAAGGATGCAAATACCTTACCGGCTTGTCTGCAAAACGCCTCGCACGAGTACGTAAGATCTGCTCAATCGCAACTTTCGGTAACAACGTATTGAAATATGTACTGTGGACAATGTTGGCATGTTCAACCATTCCCATGGATCGGGAGAAACTTCGGGAGCCGGAGCCGCAGTTTCGGGAATAATGGAAATTGTTGGTAAAACCAACACTTTCCATGATTCCCCTCAGAGAAATCATGGAAATTGTTGGTTTTACCAACATTTCCAACAATTTCCATGAATTTGGAAAAACCTCGGGAGCCCGCGCCATAGTTTCGGGAATCATGGAAATTGTTGGAAATGTTGGTAAAACCAACAATTTCCATGATTCCCCTCAGAGAAATCATGGAAATTGTTGGTTTTACCAACATTTCCAACAATTTCCATGAATTTGGAAAAACCTCGGGAGCCCGCGCCATAGTTTCGGGAATCATGGAAATTGTTGGAAATGTTGGTAAAACCAACAATTTCCATGATTCCCCTCAGAGAAATCATGGAAATTGTTGGTTTTACCAACATTTCCAACAATTTCCATGAATTTGGAAAAACCTCGGGAGCCCGCGCCATAGTTTCGGGAATCATGGAAATTGTTGGAAATGTTGGTAAAACCAACAATTTCCATGATTCCCCACAGACAGATCATGGAAATTGTTGGTTTTTCCAACATTTCCAGCACGTTCCATCGATTTGGAGAAAGCTCGGGAGCAACACTACAGTAGACGCTACACTTAGAAGCCCAGGGAGCCACTGTAAACGAAAACGTGCTTTCCCAGAGACGCAATGACCAAGGAACACAAACAAATATTAGGGACAGAGTGTCTGGCTTGAACAGGACACAACCTGGGTACCGGGGGGGGGGGTACCATATATATATATATATATATATTATAGAGGGGTTGTTGTCTGACTGGAAGTGAGGGCTATAGGGTAGTTAGTTCCTGTACAGTTTGCATGTTACCGACGTTTTGGCTCAAGGCCAACTGCAGAAGCCTAAAAAGTGCTTTCATGGTAGCGGAGCAATCCTGGATGGGTTGCTGCTGTGCTTGTAGAAGAAGGAGAGCGCAGCGCGAGAGAGCCAGGGCCAATTGGGTCCGATTGATTCAAAGGGTAAGGAAGCTGCGAAAGCTTCAGCGTCTTTTCCACAACACTGGAGTGCGGCTCCAGGATTTTCCAAGAAGGTTGCTTGATCGCCTTTCGAGGCATTTTAAGAGAGACTAATGTCCCAGCCGGGAAGTCCCACAGGAGTGGGGGCTACCCAAGGAGAGGAAATGTTACTGAGGCTGCTTCAAGGGCAGCAAGAGCAGCTTCAGAGGCTGCAAGAGATGATGGGAGCCCAGGTGGGCAGCAGCAGCTTGCAGCTGCGACGCAGAGCTTTGCATCGGCAAGCTCGTCGGCTACCAAGGGGCGTGGCCTGATTGATGTGAAAGCTGTGGGGCGACCGAGCCAGCTGGGCGGTACTTTGGAAGAGGCGTCGCGGAACTGGCGCCAATGGTCGTATCGTCTTGAGCTTTGGTTGGCCTCGCAATTTCCGGATGCTAGGAAGATCCTTGCTTGGGTCAAGGAAAGAGGAGATACCGAGATTTCTTTGGCAAGCCTGGAGTCGACTTCGATTACGGGCGTTGCCAAGGAAGCGGTGCTGGAATTTAATCGGCAGCTTGAGGTGGTGCTTGGGACGCTGACCAGCGATGCGCCCGGAGACATCACAATCAATAGTTCGACTGGGTCAGGTTTGGATATGTTCCGGAGGCTGCACGCCCGCCTGGACCCATCGGACATGGTTACCAGCATGAGGTGGCTCAGGTCACTTATGAGCACTTCGGCGGTGGATTCTGTCACCTGCCTGGTGCCAGCCATTGAGAAATGGGAGGATGCCCATCGGCGGTACAGCCAGCGGAAGGACTGCGCACCTTTAACGGAGCAGCAGAAGATGGTTTCCTTGATCGGCCTTGCGCCGTCTGAGCTTCAGGGTCACCTGGAGCTAAACCTGGGAAGGCTCAGCAGCTACGAGCTGCTGAGGAGAGAGATGGTGTCCTTTGCGGATACCAAGCGGGCCTTTACGGCCACGGACGGTGCTGTGCCAATGGAGGTGGATGCTTTGAAGGGTGCCAAAGGGCCGAAGGGAAAAGGAAAGAAAGGAGACAAAGGAAAGGACAAGGCCAAAGAAACCAGGACCTGTCACGTATGCCAACGCGTAGGTCACCTTGCTAGGGACTGTTGGTATAAGGATAGTAAGGGTAAAGGTAAAGGAAACCCGAAGGACCCTAAGGCTCAAGCGGGCAAGGGTAACAAGAATCGGTCAAAGGGCCGAGCCAACGAGCTTGACGGCACAGAGGGCGGCGCCATGGACGGGGCCGGCGATGCCGAGTATGAGGCCGAAGAGCCTGATGAGTGAGGAAGCCGAGCTGGGCTTCATTGGGGCTCTGGAAGGTGAGGGCGATGCTGACCCCAATGGGGATCCTACGGACGGTAGGGATGATGATGACGGCGGTGATGGAGCGCTTCGCTCCTCACCTGGGGCCGACCACTCTGGAGCCGGGAGCTCTACCGATGCCCCGGCGCCCAAGGCTAAAGCCAAGGCGGGATCAGCCAGCTCCACCCCAGTGGGCCTAAGGATGGCCGATATGAGTGTGCTGAACAAGCTCCAGGAAAGGCGAAGGGAGCTTGAAGCTCAGATCGCCGATGTGGAAGCCAAGGGCAGTGAAGGTGACCAAGGGGAGCTCACCATGCACAGGCTGATGCTGGACATGGTCAAGGGTCAGATAAGGAGGGCCCAAGATCTCAAGAGGAGCAGGGAAGAGAGAATTTCCGCTCGACTTCGGGCCGACCTGGATGCGGGTCACAACCCGCGGCTGGCCAAGCGGAAAGAAAAGAGCCGCCAGCGAGCGGCCAAGCACCGACAAAGCCTCAGGCTAGGGCAAGCCAAGGCACGAGTCAGAAGGGAGGAAGCCCTGGAGAGGAGGTTCAATATCCCCGAGAGGGCACGCAAGCAGGATGAATATCCGTTGCTGCCCAGTGCTGGATCCAAGGTGGCTGCGCCACCATCTCGCCGAGAGAAGGCTATGATGAGGGGCGACGGCGAGGACCGCGAGCACTCTGGGGATGAGCTCGACGAGCCCAAGGAAAGAGACTGGAGTGCCAAGTCTCGACGGCTAACACCGGAAGGCCGTGAGGGCAAGAGGCTGCGAGAACAGAAGAGCCAAGGTTCGAGGAACTGACCGGCCCAGTGAGCCGAAGGGGCCACCGCCTAAGTTGCGGCCGACTCCCAAGCTTCGACCGACACCCAAGGAGCCGAGTACCCCGCCACCAGGCCGTGAGTCAGGAAAGAAGAAGAAAGAAGAGGAGGAGGACCTGGTGGAGATGGTTTTCACCTTCATCGACGGCTCGGGGGTTGTGGTGCGAAGGAAAGGCATCTCCGAGCTCACCCTCAGCCAGAAAAGGAAGGTGGAGGAGGCAATCGCCTCTGCACCTTGGAGGGCCGAGCCCAAGACCAGAGGCAGGCCCCAGCTGAACAAGTACAGCCAGATGTTTTCGAGGTTTGTGAACTACCTCAAGGGCTACCGACCAGCCCTGCCGGAGAAGCAGATCCGCCGCAGGGGCCTTGCGAAGCAGTACCAGGCTGCAACCAGGTTTCGCGCAAGGGTTGGAATCCGGAGGAAACTCCGGGCCCTGGCCCCAAGGGGCACGGTGGGCGAAACGATCGCCAACGGGGACCTGGATGATGACAGCGACTGCCACTCGTGCCACAGCAGGCGTGTGAAGACGACCGAGCCTGCAGACCGCTTTTACAAGAAGCGGCGGCAGCAAGGGCCAAGCAAAAGGCCAAAGAGCTCCTGAGCGAAGACGAGGAAGAAGACCCAAGGGGGTACGACGACCCCCACACAGACTCAGACCCCGGCCACCGACCTTTGGGCCGTGGGCCAAGGAGCCCACCAGGTGGTGGCGAAGGTGCCAAGGAGGCCGTGGTGTACTCCTTTGAGCCAGGGTTTGGTGGAGCCGCTTCGGCCACCACCATCCAAGTGATCCTGGACAGTGGGACAAGTCACAACGTGATCCCACAAGAGTGGGTGAAGCACCTTGAGTGGGGACCCGCCGAAGGACCAGCAGGCTTCCGCACCGCAGACGGAAGCTGGTTGCCAAACCTCGGTACGGCCGTGGTGTCTTTGAGGTCGACCGAAGGGTTTTCCTTTAAGGTCCGGTTTTGCGTGGCCTCGGTGCAGCGTGCGCTTTTGAGCGCCACCCAAGTGCTGAAGCTTGGGCACACGATCGTCCTGAAGGGATCGAAAGCAGTGATCCATGTGAAAGGAAGCAAGGAGAAAACTTTGGTGTTCAAGATCCTTGGGTCGCCTAAGGCGACATTCGCTTTCAAGGGTTTCCTGCGGCACTGCCCGGAGGAGAGCAGGTAAGCCCAAAGCGAGACCGGAAGCCGGAAAGCGTTTTCACCCACCTTGCGGTAGCTCAGGGAATAGGCTCTGTAGATGTACAGCAGAATTCGAAAGTTTCACCAGACAGCCAATTTGGCGCGGTAGGAAAAGGTAGCGTTTTTCACCTTCCTAGGCCCCCTCCGGTAGCTAGTTCTCCCGACCACTTTTTCATAGGATCAGAAGGAGAAGAGGACGCGGCCGAGGAGGAAAGAAGCAAAGCAAAGGAAAAGGCAAAGGAAGGGGCAGGAAGCCCGACGCGCAAAGCAAAGGAAAAGCCAGGAAGCCCAACGCGCAAAGCAGAGGAAAAGCCAAGAAGCCCAACGCGCAAAGCAGAGGAAAAGCCTAGGTCTAACTCGGGCAAGAATCGATCTGGGTCCCTTTATGTGGGTGAAGCCGGTAGTGCTGATCCACCAAGGGAGGAAGCTGCTTCAGCGTCCTCCCAGCCTCAGGTCGATGAAGGTCAGTCTGCTCAACCGTTGGCGCGGCCAGACCGACCAACGCCCGAGATGATAGCAGCTCATGCGGTTTCCCACGTTCCGTACAGGAGTTGGTGCAGAGCCTGCGTTGCAGGTCGTGGTCGAGCTTATCAGCACAAAGCCTCGGGTCAGGAGTCCACGGTGCCAGTCATCAGCATGGACTACCTCTACTTCAATGAGAGATCCGATGGTGCTGGTCTGCCCACCATAGTCCTTCGCGATCGCCACTCGAAGGCTATCTTTTCGCACCTCCTCCCGTGCAAGGGGACTACTGGGTCTACGCACCCTGAGCGGGCTATCTTGAAGGACCTTGAGTTCCTAGGGTACAAGAAACTGGTCCTGAAGAACGACCAAGAAGCTTCTATCAAAGCTCTATCTCTCGCTGTCCGCAATGGCTTCAGTGGGGAGATTGTTCCGGAAGAGTCACCAAAGGGGGACCACCACGGACAGAGCAACGGAGAAGCTGAGAGGTCTGTTCAGACCGTACAGGGTCTAGTGCGAACCCTGAAGGCCAGTTTAACTGAGAAGGGCATTACCCTTGAACCCACTTCATCCGTGTTTGCTTGGATGATTGAATATGCTGGTGTGCTGCACACCCTGTTCAGTCAAGAGCTCCATGAAGGGCTGACGCCTTTTCAGCGAATAAAAGGGCGCAAGTGGCAAGTTGCTTTGCCATGCTTCGGTGAAGCTGTGGACTTCCGCCGCAACACGCGCTCAAAGCTGGACTCGCGATGGCAATCTGGAGTTTATCTGGGCCTGCGCCTGCAGAGCACGGAGAAAATCGTGGGAACCAATCAAGGGATCTTCGTGGTCCAAAGTATCAAGCGGAAGCCCGAAGGCCAACAATGGGATTCCGACTTGGTCAAGGCAGTTCGTGGATTGCCCTGGAAGACCTCTCCGGATGAGACTGGGGATGGTGCTCGATTACCCGAGCCACTGACCGTACGAGCCCAGGTTGAGGAGGGACTGCCTCCGCCTGCTCGTGAACTGGTTAAGCCCGAGGTAGCATCCTTCAGGTGCACCTACATCCGCCAATCTGACCTGGACAAGTTTGGGTATACGGCGGGATGTGAGGCATGCTCAGCAATCCGTGAGGGTCGAAAGAGAACGGGGATCAACCATACTGAGCACTGCCGCTCAAGGATCATGGAAGCCCTAAAGGACTCAGAGAGTGGAAAGGCCCGACTGGAACGCGAAGAGCAGCGTGAGAGTGAATTCTTCGACAAGGTGAACAAAGCGGAAGAGAAGAAGAGGAAGGTGAGTACTGAGCAGGAGGCGTCTTCTTCCACAGACCCTCCAGCGGCCCAACCTTCCAGACCTTTGACCATTGCTCGCCAACCGCCTTTGAGGCCAGAGGTTCCGAGTGAACCTAGCTCTCTGCCACCTGGTGGTGCGGCTGCCTCAGCTGCGCCCAGTGGGGGCCAGAAGAGAAAGAGTGAAGGCGGGGGGGAGGAAGGTCGTGCCGAGCTGGCACCTCCTGACGAAAGGTCCGAAGGTCAGAAGCGCAAATCACCTGAGAATGCCGAAGGCATGATCGAAGAGCTCATTCTTCAAGAGCGCGAAGGTTTCATTGCCAGTATCGAAAACGAGGAACAACCCACGTGCGACTTAGAGGACGACTTGTGGGAGGAAAAGTTCTACGACGAGAATACTGGTAAAGAGCTTCCCGCCGAAGGTGTCAAGCAAGCTCGCATGGAGGAGATCCAAGTTATCAAAGACATGCAGGTTTGGGAGCCGATTCCAAGACCCCCTGGCGAACGGGTCATCGGCACCAGATGGATTGACATCAATAAGGGGGATGATCTTCGAAAGAAACTGCGCTCAAGGCTGGTAGCACAAGAACTGAAGAGAAAGAAAGGAGTCAACGAAGATCCGAGCTGGACCGAGTTCTTTGCGGCAATGCCGCCATTGTCCTCATTGAGGGCTCTCTTCACGCTGGCTACAACTGGGCGCGTACCCGGCCCAAACAAGAAAGCCTTCCAGATGAACGAGCATGGTGAAGTCTGTGTGCTGTTCATTGATGTGAAGAAAGCTCACTTCTGGAGTCCAGTCAGGAGGCGACTCCTCGTGGAGCTCCCACCAGAAGTGGGAGAAGGACCTGACAAGGTTGGCCTTCTCAAAAGGAGTCTCTACGGAACCCGTGATGCACCGAGCAACTGGGAACATGCCATCAAGAAAGTAATGGCCGACTTAGGTTTTAAGCAAGGGGTGTCCAACCCGTGCCTTTACTTTCACCCTGAGCATGGCTTACGTTGCAATGTGCATGGAGACGACTTCACTGTCGTCGGGGGCTACCACAAGCTTCAATGGTTGATTGAGTCACTTCAGAAAGCGTGGACAATCGAGGTGCGAGGAATCTTGGCACGGCCCGGCTCGAGCCTGCCAGGAGTCACTCACAGCATCTCTGTGCTGAACAGATTGGTCACGTGGACCAACGAGGGGATTGAGATGGAAGCCGATCCTCGGCACGTGGACCTGGTGCTGGAACACCTGGGTTTGAATAACTCCAGCTCTGTTACCACACCGCTTGTTAAGAGCACAGGGGACGAGGATGAAAGTCCACTCTCCAAGGAAGATGCTGGACTCTATCGGTCCATAGCAATGAGGATTGGGTATCTGTCAAGCGACAGACCCGACATGCTTCGGACTGTGAGGGAACTCGCTAAAGGCCTTAAGGAGCCCACTCAATATCACTGGAACCTGCTCAAGCGCGCAGGGAGATACTTGAGAGGAGCACCTCGCCTCGTGCAGCTTATTCCTCACCAAGAAGGGTTCAGTGTCATTCAAGGATGGAGTGATACAGATCATGCAGGATGCGTTCGCACGAGAAAATCCACAACCGGGACAGTCGTGCAACTAGGGAAGGCAGTCATCAAAGCCACTGCGAAAGGGCAGGCAGTCATAGCACTATCCAGTGGGGAAGCTGAATACTACGGCCTGATATCCACCACCAGCGCATGCTTGGGTGAACAAGCAATGTTGGCTGATTGGGGCATCAACTGCCCTGTGGTCATCAACATGGACGCCACCACGGGCATATCCATTGGAAGCCGGAGAGGTCTTGGACGTGTGAAGCACATCCACACCTGCTTCCTGTGGGTTCAAGAGGTGATCGACTCTGGCCGAGTTAAGCTGAAGAAGGTCCCTACGGGAGAAATGCTGGCTGACCTGATGACAAAGCCTCTGGATGCGAAGCTTATCCAGAAGTTCTTGCAAGAAATGGGCTACAACAGCAAAGCGGGACGACATCCTTTGGCCCTGAAGACGTGAAGCTAACAACCCATGCCTCACCACTCGTGAGAGCTGTGCCAGCATTTCACTCGGGAGGCGTGACTGGAAGTGAGGGCTATAGGGTAGTTAGTTCCTGTACAGTTTGCATGTTACCGACGTTTTGGCTCAAGGCCAACTGCAGAAGCCTAAAAAGTGCTTTCATTGTCACTATAGGACCCAACTAGTTGGATGTTTAACTTACCTTATGCTCAGAAAGCCCAATCTCCAATTCGTGGCTGCCTCCAAAGTCTGGGTTCGCAGGGTGGCTGTGAAGCCTGTCATTGATAGCTCAAGTGGCCCAAGTCACGCAAGCTTCGATCGTTTCGGACGGTTCCATGCACATCTTGTTGTTATGGCCTTGGCAACCCGTTTGACCGAGTTTGCAGATCATTTGTGTAGCCAGAAGATTCCTGCACATGCTAAGCCTGCGACATATCCTGCAAGTGTAGCAGCCATGTTCGCAAACGGGCTGCATGCTCGTGTCTTACACTTCGAGCTGCTTCGATGTCTAATGCGCAACACCTCTTACAACTTCTCCAAGAGTTGCGTTTTGAGGCTCTGACAGTGTGCTTCTGGGATGGCTTTGACTGTCAGAACCCCAGCCGACCTTCCTTCCTTCCATCGGATGAACTGCCCGAAAAAGCCGAGCTAAGGGCTGGGCGAAAAGTTCGGCACGTCCCAGGCCAGGACGGCCTTCAGCTCGTCGGCTTCGGATGCGGCAAGAGATATCTGGGGGAGGAGACACGGCTGATGCAAGCTCGCATCAAGCAGCTGGAGCGTGGCACTGAGTCAGCTTGGTACCTGCTGGCTTTTTTGAGGACGAATGTCCTTGCATCCGTGGGTTCCGTTCAGGTCACAGGTGGCGGTGCTACAGGCGCGCTTGCAGTGGATGTGGCGTGTCCCGTTCAGTGCATTTCAGAAGGCCGGACAATCGAAGATTCGACACTTCGTTCAAGCTGCTTGAGTCTCGTGGGACTTCGCGCACGTACGCTGAACAATTGTTTCGAAGGCTTTAACTCAATCTCCCGTGTCCTTGCCAAAATGATGCTTCCAGCCGCATGAAGTCGGCAAGGGTCTTTTCTAACAGCACAAACAAGCATTTCCAGCACATTTGTGTGAGTCCTCCCTGCTATATGCTGGTAGTCGTGCTCGTTTCTCACATACACGACATTCCATGTTTTCAATCGCTCCGACAGTGATAGTCAGCTGTCATAATCTGACTCCGGATATGGCCGCGGCAGATGAAGTACTGTAGTATCTGCATCCACAACGGATGAGCTGGAATGCTCTATTATTATTATTATTAATATTATTATTACTATTATTAATATTATTATTACTATTATTAATATTATTACTACTATTATATTACTATTATTACTATTATTACTATTAGCAAGCCGTGGAAATTATCGTCTCCCGACACGTCCGCCCGTGTGTCCACCGGCCCGTTGTGCTTCCGGTCCGATGTTCCGAAGCATGTCCCACGTTTGCTGCCACACAAGCGAACCCCTTTGTTGCATAGAAATTCGAAATTCAACAAGCAAAGCAGTGGTCCTTCAAACCGCGTCAGGAACTGTTCCTTTCGACTTCGCAAGGCAGGTGACGCTAAGCTCTTGTAACCGTGCACGGCTCGTGCCCATAAGTTGTTCGTTACTGAAACCTTCAACTTCTTGGTCATGGGCGCAAACCACGAGCTCCTCTGAGCACTTGTTGATGACAGGCCGAAGCTCCAGTTGGAAGGATCTCTAACCGTGCAGGTGTTGCTAAGTCCAAGCAATGCAAGAACGCTGCACCACATGTCGCCGCAGCGAGCGCAGCGTGGAGTCCGGAAAACTGAGCCCAGGAGCTCGTCACCGAAGTTAGTGAGGCGCTCCACAGAGTCTGGGCCTCAGCGGTGAGGGGGGGAGACATTGACGTCTTCACCGGTGCCTGTGAATGTCAAGACGATTCGGTTTGCGAATTCAATGCTCCAGGCGGTGGACCGCCAGGAGCTGCAGGCGGCGGAGCCAGCCTCTCAGTCTCAGTCAACTCGAAGGGCCGTTTCCTCACTGATTTTCGCTGTATTATGTGTTGAGGACACGTGTGATGAACAGCATCCAGGTTGGCAGATGGCAACGGTTAGTGCAGCACCGGATGGATGTTACCCCGTATAAAGCTTTCGGACGAAAGGGGCAGATCAAAAGTAGGTTTTGGAGGGGGGCTGGGGGTGGGGGCAAAGCAATGATGACGATGTAGTGAATGTAGTCGTTCCAGGTATCGGTGTGGACTGCTGGACAAGTCTTGCATCAGATTAGTGGGCGAACGTCGGGAATGGTGCATGTTCGTGTGTGTATGTGCGTGTGAGAACCGTCCCTGAGTCTTCCAGTTTTGCACGGCAGGCGTGCTGCCAAGCCATGCATGCGCCGCCGGCGGCTGCTGCAGTGTCCCTAGAAGTGCTCTGAGGAGTTAATGGGGAACAGTTCTTCTCAACAACGCAGCAATTGTTTGCAGGACGTGAAGACACTACGGTATTCATTGACAGCCAAGGCGTCCCGAGGCTTACACGAGGCTAAAGCTCTAAGCGACCTGAGGTCTATGTGCCCTATGCACAGCCGGCGAGGGCTCGTGACGCATGGGGTCGCTTCGGATAGGGTTCAGGGCCCATCATTGCCCTGTGGTCGAAATATTCTGTGACAGAAGTTGGCAAGTCTTCAGCTCTAGGATTGTAGGATTGCGGCGCAGTTGGCGAGACAGGGCTTTGATTTGACAGCGATGCCCGTGCTGGCAGTAACCGTTCAGGCGCCTGTCCTAACATGGGATTCGACGCGCGCTCATCTTTGCACCAGCGGTTGCTGTTGATCGCCTGGTTCCAAACTTGTACCGGGCAAGTATTCGGAAAGGGGAAAACAGTCGGCTGCAGCTTGTGATCCTACTCATGGCTCCTAGCAAGACTCTGCCATCTAAGCCGCTGAGTGTCTTGTCATGCTGCACCACTGCATCGTGTGCCCGATCTGCTGTTGAAATCTGTTTTGGTGGACGAAGGTAGATAGCTTGAGCTGGAAGTCATGTTCGTTCCGCAGCAGCTTGTACCAGGCTCAAAGACAGCATGGATCTTCCATTTCCGTCAGGATTGTGCGGCTCACGTGCAGCAGCGGCGACGGTCAACTGGCCTTCGCCAGCTGGCATCAGCAAGCTAACATGGTCTAATGCTGATGTCCATGGCGATTGGAAAGCCACTTCTTATACTTTGATTGCCTCTTTGGTCCTTGGTTCCAAGCTGCTCAGGCGAGGACAGACCCGCGGACCTGCAAGATCAGTGAAAGCTGCTGGTTGCGGCAAATCCGGAACTCGGAGGGAGCACATTTTTCTAGATGTTGTGGCTGCAGCAGTTGCTGCTGGCCCATCTGCTGCCGCTGCTAAAGGTGGCAATCCTTTTCTACTCGTCCAGGATGGGGAGGAGGCATTCAGAAAAAACCGTGTGGAGGAATCGATCAACTTGTTTGACAGCGCCGCCGAGTCAGGATATCCGAAGGCCCCTTCTTTGCAACAGCTTTCGTGGTAGACTAGAATAAGGCCTGGAGCATTACAAATTTGCGGTATTTAGGAGTGGCTGTTTCAAGACATTGATACGTTGCAGTTTGGATGTTTCGGAAGGCATGTCAGAGGCTAGGGTTCGGCATCTCGTGTGAGACATCGGTGCCCAGTGCGTTCAGGCGAGACTCTGGCAACGTGGTCTATCCCTCTACTACGCGAAGGACTTCACAGCCGGGTCGCAGCAGTTCAGGAAGGATGTGGAGATGAACCCCAACGACACCGAAGAGTCGATTTGGGCGTTCCTTTGTGACGCTCAAATGGTTGGGTTCGATGAGGCACGAAAGCAGATTTTGAAAGTTGGTGTGGACCCCCGACCGGTCATGCGTACAGCCATGGCATTGTTTCGGGGCGATGATGACACCAAGTACCTGGCCGCGCTTGAAGACTTGTCTGCCGGCAGCGGCTCTGACGTCTTTTACTCCTGCCTCTACCTAGGCTTGTACTATGAGGCCTGCATGTCGGTGTGTCGACAAAGTTGTGACATGGTTCAACATGAGCTGATGCACTGCTGTTGCCAGGCGAAGGGCGACGTGGAGAACGCTCGACGGTACCTCTTGAAAGCCACTAGTTGCAGGTATGGCAAAGGCAGCACTGATTACATGGCCGACCTTGCCCGGGTGCATGTCGCTCGGCGAGGCTGGGGCGAAGTAGAGTTTTGAGCAACAGGCGTGATGAAAAAGGTCGCAAGGTCTCGGGTGTGTTTGACCTTCGGTCGGAGAATGCCGAAAGTAATGTCATGCTGTGTTGCTGGGCAGTTCGTCTGCGGTTGAAGCTGTGGTGGACCCATCTGTCCAGTGATGTTGTGCTTCGCAATGCTTGCTCAAGTGAAAGATTGTCTCGTGCCCCTCGCTGGGATGACGAGAAACTGTCAATGAGTTCATGAAGCCGGCCCGCAAAGGCGCGGGGTGTTGGCATCATGTAGGCGTGTGAGAGCATGTCATGTCGACTGTGAGCCAGGTCCAGCGAAAGGCGCGGAGGATGGGGGGCCGCCAGCTGATGCCCCAAGCCCTCCGATGCAACTGCTCGCCTTCGTCAGGCCTTGGGGGTGGAACGCGAAGTTACTATGCTCCCTTATACTATATTATATTGCACTACTTAAACGCTATATATTATGCTATATTGCAAGATCTTATGCTACTATTGTTATATGTTATATGATATTATGCTATATCATCCATGGAAAAATCACCAAAGCCCTTTCCACCCACTTTCTAAAGAAGCGACGCCTCGAAAGGCTCCATGCTCTCCACGAAGAGCCGCGGCCCGAGAGCCTGTCCATGCCGCTGCTGTGACGCCGCGCAGGTATAGTATACCATAGCATAGTATAGAATAACATAGTATAGTATAGCATAGTACAGTATGATATAGAATAACATAATATAGTATAATAGAGTATAGCATAATATAGTATAGTATAGTACAGTATAGCATAGTATAAGGGAGTATCATATAGGGATAAAAGAGTATCGTATGCTGGTTGTTCAATACCCCTTCGTCGTAGAAGGTTCCGGGCGTTGGTTGCCGATTGTGAGCTCCAGACTCGCCAAATCGAAGCAGAAGCATCAGCAATTCAGAAATGGCAAAGACATTGTAGAATACTATCTCACACTATGCTAAATTATTCTGTAGCAGAGTACTGTACTGTATTATACTATTTTAATCAATGCTGCAACAGCAGTCATGCATGCAAGAGTCCGACACGTCAGGGTTGACTGTTGCGGACAAAGGTTTCAATCTTGGAAAATTCTGTCTCTACATAAAGAGACAGGGGCTAGTGCAGCATAGAGTACCAGTTGCGGCATAGAGATCTCGGAATTTTGAAGCGGTCAGACCTATCCTTCTGAGTAGAGTTTTGTTTCGGTCCAAGGGCCCCGAGCGGCGTTCCACAGCCAGCGCCTGAAGCTGGCCTGGACGCTGCGCTTTTGGAGGGCAAGGGCGATGCCAACAAGAAGGCCTCCGTCCGCAAGAGACCTGTGCGCTCGGGGGTTCTGGGTCTGCTTTTTGCCCTCCGTTTCGCCTGTCAGTACAAGCTGGGTGTGTGCGGTCACTACCTGATCATCTTCTCCGACGAAGCCGGGAGCAAGCGGCAGCTGGACAAGGCCGGGCGCGGTCCGGGCGGTCGCGGTCGGGCCTGGGAGGCTGGGAGGTCCGCTGCGCTGCTCCGTTCTCCCTTCTTTGCGAGGCTGATCTCATCGGGCTGGAGGTCTGCACCAAGGTCCCGGAAGGATCCCTGCCGCTGCTGGGGCTACGGCCCCTGCGCAGGGAGGAGAGCCGCAGAAAGCAGCATAAAGTGCCCTCAGATCCGTTTTCTGGGTGGTGGAGCTCGCATCAGCTCGCTGCGACATCGAGGAGCCAGCAGCAGTCCCGGCCAAGCCGCCGGGTCCCGCTCCCGCGGCGAAGGCCGAGTTTGCGTCCTCCGCTTCCTACACCTACACCTTGCATAATTGCGACAGGCTCCAGCGCACAAAGGCCGAACCATCTCCACACCTCCAAACGACTTGGGGTGGCTGCTGGTAGCAGAAGGGGGGGAGGCGCCGCGACTGTGAGAGCTGAAAACACGACTGGAGCTTGCTGACTTGTCTCAGGAGTGCATGCGACGCACCGTTGAGCTGTTGGCTGGCGCCGGAGCTGCGTGAGCCCAGCAGAGTTTCTCTCTCTCTCTAGAAGCATGTGACTTCTCACGGAGTTCTAGACATTTGTCCCATCTTCTCCCAGGCGCACAGATCTCGACAATGCGTACAATGTGGAAGATGGCGTTATAGGTGGGCATCAGATCCGGTATCGCATCATTTCACAAGCCGCCTTGGACCACGACTGTAGCTGTGAGGGACGGGAAGCTTTGGAGTCGTCCGTCGCGCGAAAGCCCGGATCTCAGCTAGAAGGTTCCGTCAGATCCCCCCCAAGCCCAAAACCGGTTTGGGTCTTCCCTGCTGGTGTGCGAACCTCCCCAGCTCACTCAAGGTTCGCGCCGCGAAAGGCGATCCAAAGGACGCCGGCTTTGCACAATGCCTTTGCATTCTGCCCTAATTTTGCCTGCTTACCCGCGCATGCACATTGGAGGAGAAGCAGGATCTGGTTGCAAAATGCGCGGGGCTGATCGGGGTCTCTGAACCCCACTCCTGAAATGTGGTTGCTAGGTTCCTGGGTTGTGCTGCAACCCTAAACATCCGTAAGCCATAAGCCAGACTCGTAGTTTGCTTGAGCCCAACTTGCTGTCTACTTGGGATTCGAGCCTGGGAATCTTCAGCTTGACTGAGGTATCGATCCGGTTGCCTTGAAGGAAGTGGTGACCTCCCCAGAAGCATTGCTTGTCAGCACAGCCTTCTGCCTGTCAGCATCTAGGCTTCTGGGATGCTCTCTTTGTTGCGCATATTTTGTTGCATATGCAGAAAGCATTGCCCTGAGCCCGGACATCTCCAAATGACGACATGCCAGACATGTTGGCCGTCGTTGCAAGCATCCCTCCGCTCATGGTGCATATTTCCTGCTGTCAGCAGAAATCATGAGAACGACGCTGGTTTGAAAGGCTTCGTTGTATTTCCCTGCCTTTTCCTCTCTCTTTCTCTCTCTGTCTTTCTGTCTTCCGGCATCGCTTGCATTGCCATGGACGCCTGGAGCTTTGAACTCAGGACGGCACACTCACAGGTGGAGTGCCCACCTTGCTGCCAGTTTCCAAGTGTCGCTGAACCTCTGCATGCGGCAAAAGATGCAGGTGAATTTGAGGGATGAGGGAGCATGTGTGATGTGACAGGTTGGGCATACACCCTGTCCTAAGGCGGTCGGAGCTATCCTACATGCTGACAGCAAAGGGGTGGCACCACTCAGTCAGTGTGTGTGTGTGTGTGTGTGAGGAAGATCCTGAACGCGCCCTGCTCCAGGCATCCGAACATCCTCAACCTTCACTCTGTGTTCCGGCAACCCACCAACGGTCAGTGGGTGCTTATTCTGGATTGTGATGCGCTCAGGGACATCTTGACGTAGTTGTGCGCAGATCTTTCACCTTTGTTCCGTTTCCAGCATCTCTTCAGCTAAGTCTGTGCCGGTGGCGATGCCTTCACTCATATCTCCAAGACGGGGGTCCAGCCGGAGGCCTGACCCGCATACGGTGTTAGGTGGCTGAGATCCCGCTGCACAGAGCCCAAAGACCCAATAACTGCCCCCACCTCGGTGTCCTTGGCCACTTGTCAGGCCACCTGCAAGACGATGCTTGAGGGCCTTCTGCTTGCCTGTGGGCACCTGCACTGGCTTGACATCCTTCACCGGGACGTTCCACCCTCGGAGCAGGAGTTTCACTGTTTTTCGTCAACAGAGTGATATTTGAGAGCCAAGAAGGCGTCGTAGATGGCCAAACAGCTCAGGATGATGATGATGATGATGATGATGATGGTGATGATGATGATGATGATGATTGTGATTGTGAGAATGGTGATGAGTGCTGGTGATGATGTTGATGGAGGCAGTGGTGATGATGTTGATGTTGTTGCTGATCATGATTGGAAGATGACCCTCAAGCCGTTATGCAACCAGTCGTCAGCTTCTTTCAAATCATCATCATCATCATCATCACCATCCCAGGACCAGCATGCTTGCTAACGTCACCGCCCATCATCATCTTTTCCTCACTCTCCGGCAGCGAGGAAGTGAGAAGATTGAAAGAACTGCATGAATGACAATCTTGATCGTCGCCGTCGCCATCCAACAGCGCTCTTGAGCGACCATTGTGCAGTATCGTTCAGCGATTGCGCTTATCCGCGCCTTCAAGCTGAACTCAAGGTCAAGCCCGAGAATTTGTTGCTGCAAACAGGCCAAGCCCCATTGCAGCAGCATCAATGTCGCCCCACTTTGTATACATGTATATATATATATATACATACACAGATGTATGAATTTACACAAGTACATATATATATATATATATATATATATGTATACTACCTGTTTTTATATGTTCACAGATATGTACCTGCCGTGTGTGTGTGTGTGTACTGTATATATATATATATATGCATATATATATATATGTATATATTATGTGTGTATGTATGTATGTATGTACAGAGTAGTATACCTACACTTGTATGTCACAGATGTGTGAGATTTGGCAGGCTTGATTCTTCAGTATCCTCATGCAAGTTTGGCTGTCTTCGCTTTGCTTTGCCGTGTGAGTATAGCACATGGAGAAAGGGCCGCTACACCTCAAAAGCAAAAGGAACTGTGTAGGGAATCTATTTTCAGTATCATAAATGCAGCACTGCTATCTACCCATGCACTTCTTTGGCGTGCAAAATTGCAATCATGCTATATATGGGACAGGTAGTAGCACCAAGACCGAGACAGGATCAAAGTCAGATACAGTGCAGTTCCGGGTTGACACTGCTGACAAAAAATTGCTCATAGTGATCAATGCAGCCGCAGAAGTAACAAAAATATTGAAGAATCCAGCGTAAGCCGAAGTCAGTCTTGAAGACGTGATGGTAGTCGTGATTGTGGCTCTCATGGAGTGGCAGTGGCTTGTTAGTAGTGGTCGTCGGCTCGCCGTAGTAGTGCGACATGCCCAGGATAAGGTTTTCGTAGCACGTGCCAGTCACACCGGTACCCTCAGCTCGTTTCGGGGACTGGAGGAGTTGAGGGGGGTAGCAGCAACAGCTGCTGTCGTCATTGTGATGGTGTTCGTGGTCGTTGTTGTTCTGGTCGCGATAGTGGCGGCGATTTTGTGCCTGGTAGTGGCAGCAGGGAATGTCACGTTGGATGCCTGTGTGATCGTTGTGTTGCTTTGTCATTGTTTTTTGCTCTCGTGATTGCTTTGGCTGCTGCTGTTAGCTGCTAAAGTGCTTCTTGCTGCTGTTGTTGCTGTTGCCTTTATGTGCTGTGTGATCCCTCTGCTTGTGAATCCCTGAATTGTCACGGACACCGAGACCTAGCCCGGCTTTGTTGAGATTTCTGCAGGTGGCAGGCCGATGCTCGCAGACTTTGGTCTAGCCTGCACCGCAAGCGATAGTGAGGACTGGAGGGGAGCTCTAGGAGTTTCATATCCGTGTGACATTTGCAGATGCATGCGTCCTTCTTGGCATGTAGCTCTTGAAGTTTGAAGCTTCGTAAACCGAGCTTGCTTGCAAGGGGTGACCCTGAGTTGAAGTAAAGCATGTCTGGCCCGAAGGAAACTCGCAAGCGAGTCGGTTCGCCTGGCTACATCCCCCCGGAGGCCCATTGAAACCATCCGAGGGTGTGCTGGGCTTGAAGTCTTTGTGAAATGTTCTGACAGACTATTTTCTAGCACAATACAATCGAAAAGAAAAGACTAGAATATGATAGAATGTCGACGTGGCTCGTTGAAGTGCCGAGTCGAGTACTACAGCCGTGCTCCAGAATGCTTCTTCTGGTTTGATCGTTCTGGCTGTCGTCAAGACTGTGGCTCCGACTGGAAATGGCTGCAACAAAAAATCAACATGTATGTGCTCTGGTGTAGGATCTAGCTTCGTCGTATGCTGGGTGCGGCTTCTTTTCGTATAATGGATCTTTCAGGGTTTAGAAGGTTTTTACAAGGTTAGAAGTGCTCGAAGCTCGTGGCCGGTACGCCGTACGTCTCTGTATGCAAATGGGTGGTTGTCTAAATTAGGGTCCCTTTTTCGGTACCTTACATATTACGTGCCGTATTCTAATAAGGACCCAGAAAGGGACCCTAATTTTGACAACCACCCAAATAGTTGTTGAATGAAACAGAGATTTGGAAGATGGTGATCGGCAGGTCCTGCAGGGAGGTCGCTGCACAACCAAGGCCCGGACTTTGCATCCGAAGGGTGCAAAGGTTTGGGGTATAAGGTTTAGGATATGAGGTTTAGGAGTGTAGGATATGAGGTTTAGGATATAAGGTTTAGGGTTTAGGGCCTGTCGACCCTTTCGATTCGCAAGCTGGGATTGACTCGGATTGCGTAGTTATGTTTTTCAGCGAAGCCTGGTGTGTAAACAGCGAGAGGTAGGTGTGCAGACCAGCAGTGCCGTGCAGTTCCGATATGCTCCGATCACCAACCCAGAAATCACGGAGCGAAGCATCATCGTGCGAGTATTCGCCTGTCTTTGAGAAAGGGATTGAGAATTGGGGTGAACTTCACCTGTCAATGAAACGAAGGCACTGGCGAATACCAACGTCTCTGAACTCTAGGCGGATTCAGAGTTCGAAAAGCTCCATGATGAAGCACACAACGCCCTTGAATGAATTGGCCTAAGCCGTCACTGTGTCGCCCATGAGTCTAGAAAGCTCATCTCATCGAGCGTGCAGGCAGACGTGTTCGCCGCGGGAGCGTGCCAGCCTCAATGGTGCCAGCAAGTGGTCTTGGTAGTCCTCGAGCACGTTTGCAATACCCGCAGTGCAAACATCGGTACAATGGGGTTGGGGGGGGTGACTGGGGCTCACGTCAAGACTGAACGACCAGCAAGGCACCACCAGCTTTTCTTAAGGTTGATTCACCCCATCCTCCTCCTGCTCCTCCTCCTCCTCCTCTCCCCCTTATGCCGCAGTTTGATGGGCATCACCACCATCGTTATCATCACCACCATCCTCACTAATGTCAGCAGCAGCAGCAGCAGCGGCCATGACCGTACTCCCTTCTATACTCATCGCCGTCTCGAGAGCCAGCACGGTGTCACGACAGCAGTGATCAACGCAAACGGTTACATGATCGGCAAAGTTCATAGTCGCGAATGCCGGCGCAAGCTGAATCGTAGTCAGTACGAAGCTTGAGATACTCCCGCACGCTCCCCTTCTCTTCGCAGTGCGAGAAGTGTCTTCGAAGAGGACCCTTCACTTCGCCATCTCCGGCAGTGCCCCTTTCGTGGGCAAGGACATGGCTGGGCCGCCAGGGGTGACGGGTGGGTGCTCGGAGAGGTTCATCGAGACTCTTAGCTCCCAGGCAGCCACTTTGCACAAGACGGTGACTGACAAGGCCATTATCGCAAAGAGAAGGGTCGTGTGATGCTTTGGGAAGCAAAGCCTGGAAGGTTTCCTATGATGGTGATCTGTACAGTAAGCTGAGTGTGAGCCCGAGCTTGATCAAGCTCTGAGCCGGCAGGTCACGCATGTGTTTCCGAGGTCCGGCATTGAAGGCGTTTGCGCTTCTACTGTTGCCTCGGCCTCAGACGCTGTGGTCCACCTTGAGGCAGCCAGGTAGTGGAGACAGCCGCCAGGTCAAAAACAACAGCAGAGCGCCCGTCTGCTGAACAGGCACTTTCTTTGCTTCCAGCAAAAGCAATGCTTCAGTTACATTCGATGGAATCAGTTGGCGTCTTGCCAGGCTTTGAAGCATGAGTGGTTCAGGGGAAAGGGCGCGCCATCGGGTAAACCCGGGGGCAAGCCTGCCCCTCAGCTGGTCCGTGCGTTGGGCGTTTGCGATGATCGAGATCTTGTCGACCCCGATGTGCTTCTTGCTGCCATCCCGTGCCATTGCACTCCAATGGGTGTTGATGCGTGCCAGGAATGCAGCCTCGCAAAATGCTGAGGAGCTTTCCGCTTTTCACGTGCCTTGCCCGATTGTCCGAGGCCTCCAGAATCCTCGAGCTTGACCCCTGCTCCGCCTCCCTCAAGGGGAGGCACTTACCGGCAATCCTAAACCGTAAACGGCTGGACTCATGTGTCGTCCGAAGGTGCTGAGCCCATAGGGTTGTCATCATTGTCACTGTTTTCAACGGAAGGCTTTCTCTACTTGTTTCTGCTATGATTACTAGTAGTTGATGGTGTTGATGAGTTTGCTGTTTCCTGTTTGGTTTTCCTGCCTGCTTGTGATCGCTCCGTTTGCATGCGGTGTGCTTGACCGCCACCGCCGCCACCACCACTACCACCACCACCATCACCACCACAACAACAGCACCAGCACCAGCACCAGCACTAGCAGCAGCAACAGCAACCGCAACCGCAACCGCATCGGCAACGGCAACCGCAACAGCAGCAACAGCAGCAGCAGCAGCAGCAGCAGCAGCAGCAGCCACAACTGCAACCACTATTGCTACTGCTACTCCTGCTACTACTCGTCCACTAGTACTACTACTACAACAACAACTACTACTGCTGCTGCTACTACCACTACTACTACTACCACTACTAATTACTACTACTACTACTACTACTACTACTACTACTACTACTACTACTACTACTACTACTACTACTACTACTACTGCTACTGCTACTGCTACTGCTACTGCTACTGCTACTGCTACTGCTACTGCTACTGCTACTGCTACTGCTACTGCTACTGCTACTGCTACTGCTACTGCTACTGCTACTACTACTACTACTACTACTACAACTACTACGACGACGACTCCTACCCCTACTCCTACTCTCGCCACTACCACCACCACTGCTACCACTACCTCCACTACTACCACTACTACCACTCCTACCACTACTACCACTAGTACCACTAGTACCACTGCTACCACGAGTACCACTAGTACCACTGCCACCACCACCGCCACCACCACCGCCACCACCACCGCCACCACCACCGCCACCACCACCGCCACCACCACCGCCACCACCACCGCCACCACCACCACCACCACCACCACCACCACCACCACCACCACCACCACCACCACCACCACCACCACCACCACCACCACCACCACCCACCACCACCACCACCACCACCACCACCACCACCACCACCACCACCACCACCACCACCACCACCACCACCACCACCACCACCACCACCACCACCACGGCGAGTACGACTGCGAGGACAGACGACGTTTGCTACCACAGTTGTTGTCGCGTTGTTGTTGGGCGCAGTGGCAGCAGTGGCATGTGTTGTGGTCGTCGGTCGTGGTCGTTGGCGTCGTACAGCACCAAGGATATGCTAAGCTTCCTTGTCGTAACTGTAACGATCATAATCATGATGTTCTCTGGTACGACATGCCCCTGGCCCTGGGATCTAGTTTGCTCGCGGTTCTCGTGTGCAGGCAAGCGAGGAGGGACTCAGAAGTTCTCAGTCCACAGCTCGGCTTTGCGAAGGGTTTGCACTACCTTTCCAGGGACCACCCCAAAACCCGAAACACCGAAGCCGAGCCTCTGAGGCATCTGAACAAGCTGCAATTGGACGCCCAAGCCTTAACTGCCCTGAAGACCGTCTTCTTTGGGCCTACTTTGGCTGAGCCGAGCTGCCAGCGATTGGACCTGACACTGAGGGCGGCCCTCCGAAGGAAGTGAGGTGCACTGCAAAGTTGCTTTTATCGTAGCTCCTCTCATTTGCGGAGTCACCTCTACAGGCCACGACCACGGTCGATGCAGCGCGGCCCACGCGCCTTTGCTTACTCGGAGGGGCTTGCATGATGGTATCCCCTTAGATTCCTGATGCAGTTATAGTTCCTTATACAGCTATAAATTAGTATGATACATCCCAAAAGCCTGTTCTAATTCCTCAGGCCCCCATATTGTAGTACCCTTTTAGATCCCTTATAGTACCCCTTATAGACCCCTTTAAACAAGGAACCCCCAAAACCCCCGTTCTAGTTCTCTGGGCCCGTTTATGACATGGTTCACTCTGGGTGCTGTAGCCCAGGTCGCGGCGAGGTGGGCGGCCAGTAGCACGTGGCTGCCTCAGACGATCTCATGCACGTGCACAGCCAGAATCCAGAATCGGACTTGGGGGACAGTTTATGTACACAAATATATATATATATATATATATATATATATATATATATGTCTCCTAATTATCGGTCTGGTGGGTAGGAATTAGGAGATCAGTTTCGCGATCGTTGGAACAGACTTGATCTATCTTCTCCGTGGCCATTTTGGCGATAGCCGATCGGGCCATACCGAAAAATAAGTTCGGCGTGGGAGGAACAGGATAGATCGCTCCAGTGCAGCAATGTCGTTCCCTCCCGCTCGCTTCGCTCAAGGTCGGCAGATGGCGGCCCCGGTGGCTCCCCAGTTCGGGTTGCCTCGTCGGCTTGGTCAGCCTGAGAATCCGGGAAACTGGGGATTCTATACTCCAGGCGAGGCAGAGGCTCCCGAGAATCCCGCGGCTCCAGCTGCCGCATCCGGCGATTGGGGCTCTGGAGGCTGGGGTCGCGACGATCGTCGTGGACGTCACACCGTGGGGCTCCTGCTGCTCACAACCCCTTCGCTGTTCAGCGGCCTGAGTTCGTTCGCCAGCTCGTGGTCGAGGAAGAGGACGAGACCCAGAACTCGCTCCTCGTCATCGACAACCGCGATGACCGGGTGACCAGCCCGGGCTATCTGATGGTTAATTCACTGAGTGCTGCTTCTTTGCTATCTGTCGCTTGTTTAAGGGTAGCTGGATTTTGCCATGAGCGACATGAACTGCTCAAAAATGTTTGCTTGCGGATTCGCAAGCTGCCGGTGGCTTGGCATGTCGGGATCAAGATTATGGTTCGAGATGTGACCGGAGATGTTGAAAGGATGCCGATTTCGGTGTCGCGATGGGAATTATATAAGACAGACAGCAACTGAATTTGTTTTTTTCGTTTGTGCAACGGAAAGTTTAGTGGCATTTCGAGTGTGTAACATACATATAAACATGTCGTCGCCGACAGAAATGAAATTTGAATTTCGGTGCCTAAAAATGATTACGAGTATATGTTGCCGGCGGGGACATGTGATATACTTTTACATATCCTATATATATATATATAGTAAAGTGTGTGTCTCTTGCATCTCTCTCCTGTGTGTGTGTGTGTGTGTGCATGTGGGTCAATGTGCATGCATGTGGGCCAGTGGGCTGCGACTGAACATCGCCCGGCAATCGCACGCCTTTTATATTCAGGGCCCTGGACTTCGCACATGCTGCCTTCGGATCAGGAGCTCCCTGGGGACTCCTAATGTGTTGAAGTGATCGATGCTAATGCATGCAAGAGCAGAAGCACATAGAAGCACTGCAGCATAGATAGGAACCATGGATCCGAGCGCAGCCATGAGCAAACGTGAGCAGAAGACGGCAGAGATAGCCCAGTCGCTGTACAACCGTCTGGACCTCCAGTTTGTTGCGTCGACAGGGAGCCTGTTTCCTACTACGTCGCTACGGCACCGAGCAACTCGAGAGATGCTTTCGTTTATGCGAGTGTTCAAGTACGAGGGTGTGGAACGACTATTGACAGAAGCTATGTCCCGAAGAGTATTGCAGATGCTGCTGGATGACTATGCCTTGCAGTTACCGGAAACTCCAGGAATGTCCAGATCCAAATGGGTCCAGCAATCGGGCAAATGTCTACACATGATGCTTAAGAAAGCTAGAAGGGGCTCCTCTGGTGACGACGCCATGGACGACGATGAGACGCAGATCATGATCCAGGATCCCGACCTGCTGGACCCCTCGGAGGACCGTGGTCCTCATGCGGCCTTGCAACTTTATGGGTGTATGCCTTTGTTCATGCCTGGAGGACTCGCAGTGCTTGAAGCGGAAGGCCTCGAGTTCTGTTAGTGCAGCTTGGATTCAAGTGGACTTCCTTTTGAGATTGTGTCTCAACATGTACATGTGCATCTCAGCTTGGTGGCATCGTGCCGAGCAAGCGACTTCGGGGCAAGACGCCTCCAGTGCCTGTGGCGGCTCTATCATTCTGTGTTCGCTGTCCAACCCGCATGCATGCATGCAGCCAGTATTATATTATATGCTGGAATCATATAGTTTCAATACATGCAAGGAAGACTCTCGATCGTCTGATGATGCGGGCGATTGCCAAGAGGACGGCTCGAATTTTGTAGAGATATGTATATGGTATAATTCCCAAACCTAGTTTCAACACCTTGAACACGGACAGGACGATCAGCTGACCGAGCCGAATGATCTCGAGGCGGAGGCTTCAGCTCGGGTGTTTGTGTCTCTGGTGTCTGTTTATGTGTCCCAGGTCCGTGTACCGGAGGGTCGCTGGTGGTGCAACCAGGACAGTCGCCACGCATACGTGTACACTTGCTGTCTGCGATTATTGCATGCAGGACGGGCAATGGTTTTGCACGCCATGGAATGCCGAGGAAGCCGAGGCCTATCATCGATCCGCAGTTTTGGTGTTCTGAGTGTGGTTGTGAATTTCCAGGAAGTTTCATCGGAGACCCCCGCTGCTGATGACTTCTCATGGCCAACGGAATACTACGAACATGGGGTGCCTGACTTGCAAGAACTCCAGGCCCGCTAGCTTTAAAATTAATCCATTGCCACCATGGACATAAACTTAGTGTCGATGCAGGACGACCAGTTCCACGGCGACGGGGCGAAGACTGGAGAGGCCGATCTGTGCCACGCTGGCTCAGGAGTCGCATGGGTGGGTCGGTCATGTGGGATTTATATCAGGATGAACAGGATGATGAGGAGTACCAGGCCAGTTTGACGGCAGCCTTTGAACTCTCGTACGCAGTCTTGATTGACTTCGCAGGCACCCGAGACTTCGGAAGATGGTGCCAGGGACAAGGTCGGTTTTTTTTCGCAAGTGTCCTCATGCATTCATGTATAGATACATGCGAGGCTTGGAAGCCATCGGATGAATGGGAGAATCACGGCTCTGAAGGACATCGTGAGGTGTGGTTTGGGGTTTCCATTTGCAGCTGTCCTTTGCAGATTCATGGATTGTAGGCTCGGAATCCCTGCAC